TCCTCGAGAGCCTGACGAAGCTGATCTTCGGTATATTGAGGCATTATATATAGAAGAAGACATGTGCAAAAGATGAGCCCATTTGGACGCGAATTGAAAATGTTGTGATAAAAGGAGGTTGGGGGTGGGCATTGGGTTGTGGTGGATTTTCGCGTTTTTGTGGGTGCCAGAAACAGGGGGGTGCCAGGAAGTGGGTATGTTGACTTACAACATGGGCTATCTAGAAAGTCCCTAGCTGTCTAACAGGGAACATTTAAGGGAATCCCCGCATGACTCTGCTACTATTTTCAAGTTTTTCTTTCTTCAAAATTGGTTTGGTCATCCAGAATTCTCGGTCCGGTTAGGCATCTTAGCACAGAAAGTAGTCATGGGGATCGTCGCCCGCCAAAGCCATCATTGCAAGGTCTTCAAGGTATGCCCGAAACCCTGAATGCAACTTGACCTTGGGCGACCAATGATAGAATTGCATGACAGAAAACCGGAGCTCCCTCATCGCCTCCATACTACCATGCGTTTCCAAGACGCATTGATCGACCTGTTTCTTCTCATCCTGTGTGAGCGTAGGATAGGCATCATCGAACTGCCGAAGAAGAAGCGCCAGCTCCGCCGGACCAAACATCCATAGACTCCCTTCGTCGCCGGCTGGGCCAAGGTCGACACCTACCCCGCTGTCCCAGTCGAACTTCTTCCAAATGTCTTTGGATGGCGCATGCAGAAGGGGATTCGCTCCGAATAGGTCAAAGTCCACGTGTTCCTCCTTCACAACTCGAGCCGCATTGTAAAGAATGTCACCCAGGTCACCTGCTGAGTCTTCCTGCTCCGGTTCTTGAAGCTTGAATCCGTCACTGACTGTAAGGAACGTCAGGTAGTCTGTGTCCAGGGCGCAGTGGCCATTTTCGCCCATTACTCGTTTTTTGAGCGCTTCGATATCCTCTGGAGATGCGGGAGGACAGATGTAGGTTGCTCCAGTCGGGCTTTCCGCCGAAGAGAGCAGAGCCTCATTCAGAAGTTCGGCGAGCTCCGCTATAGTCTTGGTCGCTAGATTTTGAGCATGACCTCGTGGATGAGAGCCGGGGGTGGCCATGATCAGGAGTAATACAGGTGATGAAGATGAAGATCCGGAAGATGTTGCCGTGTTCCCTTCCGGTTTGTGCTCTCAGCCTCTTAACGGCAATGGACCTAGCTTAGGTTTGTAAGCAAGACACTCATTGGGTTTGGTGGGTCTTGAACTGTTGAGTACTATTACAAGCAAGGTGCACTAGTTTCCGTTATCAGCCGATTGGCGCAGCCCGGCGCTGAATATCCTGAAGCGGGCAAGAAGGCGAACGCTCTCTTTTGTATAGCGCGTGGCGCACAGTAGAGGGAGATTGACAAGACGCACGCGTACAGAGAATAGAGAAGGAACCGTTGATAGGCGTAAGGCATGTAATAACAGGAGCTAGGTCAGACGAAGAACGATAAAGGAGGGAAGAAGGAAAACAGGCTAGGTATTCGCGATGGGGTAGAGGAGACCCGTACCTAAACCTGTTGGATACTTCTAGGCTCTACGACACTGCTGCTAGAAATTTCAGTGCGAATGTTTCTTACTAATTGGTCGTTCTGGGCATTTCTAGTAAGGTGAATTAGAAGGCATGTAAACAATATTGATGAGTGCGCTGGCGTCCATTTCGGTCATCTTATACTATTCATCTAAGTGGCGACCAGCTACTGCCCTTATTGGTTACTGAGAGTTTAGGGTCAAGTTACTGAGCTGTGTCTGATAGTCTTGGAGCTTTATCGCCTCACAACTCACTTACTGCAAATGCACTTCCCCCATCGAGTCCTGCGCCGCCGCTTCTCTGCATGTACGGGCCTGAGCCCGGACGGGGCATGTTTTCTTCTATTCTTTTTCTTCCTTTAAACTCTGTCTGTATCGACGTTACTTTGAACAGGGATCTAGACTCAACTATTGTTGGATTTGGGTCATGCGCTTAATTAAGTTCAATATTAACACTATCCTACTAAGTCAAGTAAATATTGAAAGTGTACTGTTATATTTTATAGTTAAAACCATATTATATCAGACAGTCTTTCTTTTGAAAAACATTCATCCTTTTCAAGTCGAATCTCTTCCTCTCTTCAAACTCACAGACGTACTTACGAGCCCCTCAATATAATACGAGGATATGGGAGAGATTCTCGTAGATAGACGGAAAGTCGGTATCAACGTCGCCGGCTCAACCCGGATATCCCGAAGTGCTGTTCCTCATCTGATGTTTAATGGTATTGGGTACATTTCAAGTAGAAAGTTTGCAGCTCCCACTTTCTAGCTCTGGGCGTGGCACGTGTCTGGTGGTGATAGTCCTAGTGCTTCTGCCCCGGCTTTTACAGGTAATTCGACGGAACGCATTGCGAGTCAGTCTATACCATGATTAGGGTGTAGGAAGTCTTCCAGTGGAGGATGTGAGGCGATGTGAGGTAAGCTTGGGAGATGGGAAGCCCGTTGCCGGCCAAAAGATGTGGTGTACGGAGTTTATTCGACCGAATCGGATGATCATTGCTGACATTCTCCGTGGAGATAGGTTGGGAGACGGAGACCAGCTGCCGATTCAATGGTGTTTACTCAACTGTTTGTGTAGTATGCTACGGTTACGATTGCTGATAGTGCCGGTATTGTCGGAGAACGGAGGTCAGCAGGATCCCGCTGACATATCCGGGCGGGTGCCGGAGGGGCCGAGAAATCTTAACCTCTGGATGGCCCCACATAGTCCACTATCGGCTTTGGTATTTATCGCCGATCAGCTAGTCAGGCCAGAGAGTTTGGGACTATGGTCTGGTGCAATGCTCTCGCAAGCAGCTTCTCGATTTATGACCTTAACATCCTCTGATACGCTGCACCTAGATTTCATCGTAGCACTCTTGATGCCGCTGCAGCAGTCAAAGTTGCAGCCGGAACAGCCAAAAGCGATGAGAGTTTCCAGTAATCAAAGTTGCGGGGGACAGAACCACTCTATACGTCACAGATCAGCCGAGTACGACATCCGCTTCAGAGTGCGATTGGCAGGGGTGCGAAAGACAAGAATGCCGTTCAAACTCCGAGATTCTCTTGGCCGCCGTTGGTTGTTGGCTGTTGCTTTCAAGGTCCTAGACGGGCGGCAGCGGATGGCCACACACGGGAACGGGAGTTTCTTCGGCCGTACATTGTGGAACCAATCTTGAGATCGCGAGGTAAGGTGATGTGAGGTCTTGCCATGCCGCGCCGTGGCCTTGGTTTCCCTGTTACCGATACTTAGCTGAGTCCATCACCAAAGATTTACCGAAAAATACAGGAGACAAATCGAACCACGGCGTCGCTTATTGCCGTCACGCGCTGTGGTCCCGCGGACTTGAGCGACTTTGATTGCTCGGCTGCGGGGGGTCGGTGTAGCCTCTCAGGCTCCTCAGCTTCACCGAGTGGATCTCGCCAGGCGCCGGTGGTCCGGAAACCGGCGGAAGTGATTCCGGAAGAAGGACCCACTCTTCCAATGTGCCGCAAGTCCGCAAGGCCAAAACGCCACCAACCCTGGTCGGTGCACTGATCGCCGGTTGTGCGAGAGACTGAGAAATGCCATTGTTTCGTCTGGTTTGATTCACCAGCTTTGGTAATGGTAATCAGCCCAGTACATCTGACCGCGGCGGACCGTCGATTGTCTTCCGGAGTGTGTGTATCGTATGCGCTTCCCTCAGCTCCATTTCCACCAAGCGACCCGGTTCAACGGTTGATCCATTCTTTCCAACTTTTGTTCTGATGCCCACAAGACAGAGATGACGGCGTTTACAGGAGGCTGGTTTCCATCGTGTCGATCCTGTGAAAGACCTACCGGTACCACACCCAGTTGCCCATGGCCGTTTGCGAGACTCGGGGGACAGAAGAGACAAGGGAGCAGAAGCGCCGGACCAACGTGCATCTCCTCAAGACAATACGGGGCAGAAGAGCGACACCAAGGCGGAGGTGTGGTGCGAAATGACATCAACTCCGGGCATGGTAGCGCTGGGCAGAGGTTCCGGTAGGAGACGACAGGGGCAGGAAAAGTGGACGCAACCTCCGGATTTCACGGAGAAAACAGCCTGGCGTCGTCAGCGACATCAGCTTACACTGTACGGAGTACAGTTTGTTTGATTCTCGAAGCCATGACCCGTTTGCCTGGCAGCGCTTCAGCCGGTGGAAAATAGCGCACTGTAGCGAGCTGCGCGCTCTCTTTTTCTCTCTCTCTTTCTTGCCCTCTCTTTCCCTCTCTGGAATTGGGCTTTAGGGCCTAGCCGTGGCATGACGATAAAATCAGCAGACCGTCAATAAGACAGTGCTACGCTGCAGCAAACGTTCGTCTGTTTCTGAAGAGAGAATTCGAGGTCACACAATTGCGTGCAGTGTGTCGGATGTTGGGTTTCAGACCAGGCTGCTTCGGTAACAGATCGTATGGTGCAAGTGTTCAAAATTCGATTTGTTTGTGCCGCGGACCAGCACGCTGGGCTGAAATGTACATACTGGCACGCGCCGGGTCGGGGGTGCGTAGAGAGGGAACCACCCGCACTGGGCAGGTTTGCCGGCAACACTACGGCGAGTCGGGCGCCAGACAGGAAGACCATCCCCAGAAGTTCGGCCGCGAGCTCACAGAACCATGTCCGAGGTCGCACGAATGAAGCATCTCGCCAAGGAACGGGGGGGTACAGATGCTCCAGAGAATGCAATCAAGAACCGGTATCCAATGTCGCGATTCTCGTCAACCGAGGAATAAGTCGGAACAAGACGCGCGAAAGTGTGGATATCGACGGCAGCCGCCAGCCCCGTCTGGATATCTGCCGAGAAGTCTGGATTAGGCTTTTCTTCGGTCACCGGGAGAGAGTGTTCAGACGCTCCGCAGAACAAATGCGACATAACGCGCTTCCCCGGACGAAAAGGATGAACGTAGCGAACGTAGCGAAATCCGATGCAGCGTTCTAGAGACATCAGGCTGTTTCCTTTTGCGCGTAGGGTGCTGCGGAGCCTGACCAGCCCTGAAGAGAGGCACCCAAAAAAGAGAGCGTGCACTGGGAAAGGTTTCTCGGCCCGCCCACCGGCTATGCCATACTGTGTTCTTTGATTTTTGCGCCCCCTATAACAGCGCGGGAGCAGATGTCGCATGTTTGTACGACATATACCTAAAGTCTGTAAAAAAGGCATCAGAGATCCGGCTTGGCCGCGTAGTCGGCATGGTGACAGTGCACAAGGGCATTGTATCCCTACCTGATGTCACAGGAAGAGGTATTGTCAACTTATCGACACTCTGTGCCTGGCTCGGTGGCTCCCAGACGTACGGTAGCCAACGTCGGTTTTGTGCCGAGCACATCTTGATATCCATTCCTTGACGCAGTGGAAACCTGATGTAAGACACAGTGGCATGCCGCAGTATGCCTTTGCTGCAGAAAATGTTTGGTGATACGGACAGAAACGAAGAAACGGCCGAGTGGGGCGGGGCGTCGACTGTGCAAGTTCGCTTCAGCACGGGGAACGAGCGAGGGAAAGGGCCCAGGTTCAGGCCCGGGCAGGTCGAGTTTGATTAAACAGAAATTTGGCGCGTCGCCGGAACGAGATGGCGCTGGACTTTCTCGGGATTGCTGCTCCATGGTGAAAACTGGGGGCGAGGGCGTGCTGGGTGGGATGCCACCGGAGCGAAGACGGAACAGCTTGCAAACGTAGCAGACCCGGACGAGGCGGCAGCTTTTGCCGGCACTGCCTTTCGTGCACATTGCACAGAAGCAACAGCCGTGTCGACCCTCGGCCAGCGTGCCAGTCGTGTGTTCCAGACCAGCCCGATGGCCGGGACGAGCCGTGGACTGGCTATCCCACATACCAGAGACATCCAGCAGCATTATCTTGATGATGTGCAGAGGTATGGTGTCCGGACTTGCAAATCGGCAGAGTGTCGACGACGACGCGGTCGAGTTGGCATGGGAGAGACTCAACCGGAAAATGTGCCCCTGGAGAACTTCTATAGCTGGGAGGACCACGCCTACGTGCCCCCTAAATCATAACGAGAAGCGCATCGGCTCCGCGTAGCAGAGCGTATAGCGTCGGCATAGTCAGAAGCCCATTGAGCAAATTACAGTTTTGCTGCTGCATTTCCGGCCCCTCTTCATCTCGATCGCTGGAGGCCGTGCCGTCAAAGAAGTGTCCAAAGGCACGAGCGCAGCGTCCAACGAAAGCGCCCTGCCGCGCCGTCACGCCGTGTCTGCGAAGATCAAATTCGGGATGGGGTCAATCTTCCGTTGGAAGTTGGCGGCGCGATGATCATGGTCAGGGACGGACAAGCTGGCGTGGCTCTGTAGCCGCCGGTTGGTTTTTGGCGCTCCGTGGAATTTGGGGACAAGCACCAAGGAGAGGAAGAAAGGTACGGAGTACTTGGAAGAGGGTGCGATACCGACTCTAGGACCAGGGGGGCGCGGCGATTCCAGGCCCGCCCGGCGGTGTTTGTCGTCCACACCCCCGTGGGCCATGGACCATGGCATTCTGTGCCTCGCCGTCGTTCTCGTCCGCGGTCCTCTCTTGCCCTGTGGCCTGTACTCCGTACCTTAGGCTATGGCTCTCTCTGTCGCTGAAAGGTGCAAGTCAGGCCAGGTGGACATGGCCCGATTGCGCTGGCCGTCCCTTCTCATTGCGGTGTGGGCCAATGCCCGGCGTGCCGCGGGTCTGGCAGGGTTTGTGACTCTGTGCTGCCGAGGCGAAAGCGCTGTAGCAATCGGCGGGCCCGGCTTTATCGCAGGGCAGGGTGATGAAGGCTCGTTGGGACTGGTCGGGTCCGAAAGGCAAGCTCGGAGGAGGGGTTGCAGTGTCAGCCAAGACTACTCTCGCGTTGATAGTGGTATCAGTACAGGAGTAGAGTCGTCTTTTGAGGCTATTCGACTAAGCTTGCGGGAGATGGGCGCATTGCCTGTCGTAGAATTGGCGGCGCAGGTCGCAGGGGAACATGGTGAGACGGAGGAACGGTCTGCCCACAAGACGGACGGTGAAATTCGCTAGGCTTGCAAACAAACGGGATTGCGACCGGTCGGCGGCGGAGGCAGAGGACGGATGGATGCGAGACGCGAAATGTGTCGGGGAAGTATGCCGCAGGCACTGTGTCGAGACTGTACGAAGTATGCGCATCGTTTTGGCTTTCGGGCGGCATCCGGGCTGGGGTTGGGGGGACTTCATTTGCGCCTCTGTGGATTGGGCAGAAATATTGGAAATGTCATGACCTTTGAGTGAAGCTTTTCAGAAGTTTGAGAAGAGACAGAAAAAAGAGGCAAACAATGGATATCAAAGAAGGGAGGATCACAATTACACATTCATTGTCGCTCCTTCTCATCAAGAACGAATGGAAGAATGGAAGCACAGGGGAGGCTCGAGGTAGGTGCCTGCCGCGGGAGTGCAGGTGTCGGCAGGGCAGCGATGCGTGTCAGGCAACGCAAGCGCGCAGACGCTGAGGCAGGTACCGATTCGACGGAAGTTGGAGTGAAGGCAGACACGGGCAACCTGGAACCTGGAAGGAGAGACCCGAAGAGAGGGCAGAGGGCGGTACTTGAGTTTTGGGGAGTGAGTGTCTAGGCTGGTGAGTACCGGACATGTACCTCCCTGAGGTGATGTGCGACGGACATTGACGCGGAAGGCAGAATGGGCAGAGTGGGTCCCCTCGCTCCTGGTTTCCTTCCGTCTCTCCTCATTCAGCTCCGGCACCACCAGCCGATCCGCCCGTAAAACCTCAGCAAAGGAGGGACCTCAGGCCCGCCCGTGTGTGGGCGAGGCAGGTGGCCCAGGCAGCTCCTGCTTTTTCGTTTTCTGTCCTGTCCTGTCCTCCCCTCCCTTCTTGCCTGTTCATTGTGCAGTGTCTCTGTCACTCTGCCTCTGCCTCTGCCTCTTTCCCGAATGCTATTTTTTTTCGCGCCTGCCTCCGAGGGTTGTGGAAATGCCAGGTACCTGTGTCCCCGTACTGTTCCATTTCCCCTCGGATTGTTCTATACGCACACCCCCCTATTCTCAGCCCTCCTCACTCTTTACCTTAGTCTTTCACCTTTTTTCATTTTGGCACTTTCCACCACCCTGTCCCTTCCCCCCCAAAAAAGTCCGCCGACTGCTCCCGCTTCCGCAGGCCGTGACTTCCTAACCCGCACCGAGCTTGGCCAGCCCTCAGTGGGGACGACCATCTGGCGACATCCGTCCGTTTCGTTCGGGGGCAAGACCTCTCTCTGTCTTCCTTCAGTTTCTGTGCCGTCTCCTCCCACCACTTTCGTTCGGATTGCAGTCGATAGAAGGAGCCGTTGCGACGGGATGATATAATAATCAAAGGTGCGGCCAGAGTAAGGAGGTAGGGAGAGAGAGAGGAAGGATGGAAGTTAGGGACTTGAGTGCGCTGTTGCAATGAATGCGAGGCCGAGGCCCGCCCGCCTACCTTACCTTGGGCACGCCGTGTGTGCCTCCTTCCCCCGTGTCCACGTCCCGTAACCCGTGTGCCGGTTCCCTCTTGCTCTTTCCCCAGGTCGTCCACCTCCGCCTGCCTTTTCACGTCCACCACTTTGTGCTTTTCGCCTGAGGTGGTCTCTTTCTGACATTGCTCCTGCTGTCTCAAGTGAACGTCCAGTGTACCTAATATTCCCTCTTTCCCACTCTGATTTATCCTCTACTCTTCACGTGAGGCGACTGAAAGGTAAGGTACGGACGCTTCCTTCCCCCGCTTGCCCTCCGTGCGGCGTGCCCTCCTCCCGTCCTCGTAGTGTCTACGGAGTAGGTACCTGCCTTGAGGTAGGTAAGGTATCCGTAGACTACAGAAATACGTACTGTACAGGTCACACCCCCTCCCCCATCCTCTCCACACCCCTCCCCTCCCTCGTACTCCACTCCTTCCTTCCTCCTCTTCCAACCACCGAAACCTGAGGACCACCGCCCGGATTTTTCGCCCACCACCGAGAAATCGCGGCCGACCCGTGCCCTCCGATTCTGCTCTTTTTTCGTCTTCCACTGTCCACCGCGTACAGCACAACTTCCAACGCTCAACATCACCGCATCTCTCACAACTTTCAACACAAAAGAAACAAACATCGCCAACCGCCTCCGACACCGTCCCGGCATCAAATTCAACCAAGTCCGACCCCTTTTATCCCGTCGCCTCTTCGGCCGCTGTGGGCATCGTTCCGCAAACTCCCCCCGTCGCGTTCTGCCCCCCTTCCTGGGGCCTTGACGCCGCCGCCCGCCCTCGCCCGCTACCTCCTGCCTGGGGGTCTCGCCTTTCTGGAGCCACCCTTCTCCATAATCTCGGCGCGACGGGTCGTCTTTTCTCTGCGTCACCCGGCCCCAAAACTCTCTTCTCTTCCGGAGCCCCCCTCAACAAAACACTCCTCCTCCCGCGACCTTGACGCCCCCGAACTCTCCCTTCTTTTTCCTCCTTTCTTCAACTTCACCTCGTCGACTCTCCGGCTTTCTGACGCCGACCATCGCCGTGTGACTTTTGCGGACGTCACAAGTCGCCTCACTGGGATCACGACATCATCCCACAAACCAAGCAAGATTCTTCTACTCTTACCTACCTTGGGTGGATCAAGAAGCTCATCGCGTCGCGTCTTTTCATCCACCTCCGGCTGAACACACGCGCATCCGGGTTTCACCACACAAACCCTACCTACCGCCCTCATCTTCTCGTCGGCGCACTCTCTGCTCTGCAGAAGGGGAAAAAAGAGAAAAGTTCCATCATCCAGCGACACGCCGCTACTGACCAACACTGGTTCGCATCTCATCCACTTCACACCAACACCCAACCTCACACACACAACCGCACTATGTCGGCCAGCGTTGTGCGGTCTACCGCCCTCCGAGCTGGCGGCGCCTGCGTGCGCTGTCGCAAGGGCAAAACCAAGTGCGTCTACGAAAACGGCCGCGCTCCTTGCAAGAACTGTGCCAAGGGCATGCACGAGTGCTATCTGCCCTCCGAGTCCATGGCCCATCACCATGGCCAGTCGCCTGCCCGTCATACCGCCGCTCATCGCCCTGCGCGTGAGAGTCTTCCTGCCTCGGTCCCGGCCGGCGATGTGCGCGCCGCCAACCCGGCTTCTACCACGTCTCGTCACGTTCAGACTCCCGAGAAGTAAGTTTGACAATTTGTTATTCATATTTCAAGCATTTTCATCTTCTTCCCCTTCACTGCCTCCGCCGCCTTGCCCCGAACCTTGCGCGACGCACACTTTTTGCGCTTGGCACTCAGTTGCCTTTTGCGCGCGCGCGCGCGCCGTGTGCCGGGTGTGCTATTCTCGTCTTTCGGCTGTGTCGCCGCCCACCGCCGCCGACCAGGGAGGGGAGCTCGGCCCCCTACTGCATGCGGCCTGGGCGCGGTGGCTTGTTCCCCTTCTCATCACACACGCGCGGTCATCTCTTGTTCTTCGTTCCCCCCCCCTTCTGTTCCGTCTGCCCAAGTGCCCTCCCCCTTGTTTCTTTTTTCCCCAAGATTTGGCTGCCATTGCTTCGATCTCCCGAAGACGGCGTTTCGTCTCCAGCCGACGGCATCTCCCACCGCCGCTAGCCTAACCCTCGGAGCCGCCATCTGACGGCGGGCTTTCCCTTGGATCCCACAAGCTTTCCAATATCCATTTTGGTGTATCCGTACTCGCTCTGCCCCCCTCCCCATTCTCATTTCCCGAGTCACATCCCCGTCTCCGCCACTTTTCACTCCACTTCTTCCCACCCGGGCCAGTCGCCGGGATGGATATGTCTTTCCACGCCCCCCGAACGCCAACACGGGCGCAAAAAGAAACACGAATGCTGACCTCATCCCCGCCAGACTCACACCGGAGCTGATCCAAGAATGCGAACGCGTCATTTCCAAGACGTACCCGGCGTGTGTTGCTTTCCACAAGCCTTCGTTCATCCAGCAGCTCAAGAACGCCTCGCTGGACCCGGCCCTCATCTACGCGCTGCTCACCTGCGCCGCTCGGTACGTACCTCTGCCTTTCGGGTCTTCCGATCCCCGATCCCAATTTCCCTCCTGATTTTGTGTTTCACTACGTCCCCCCCGCAATGTCCGGCTTTTTTTTGTGGGTGGCGCGGCCTTCCGTTCGGAAGCCTCGTGTCGGCTCGCTTAGCCACAAATGTCCGGACTTGGGCCGAAAAAGTGTCACCACTTTGTCTTTATTGTGGTCATTGTCTCTGAGGCCCGACTCAGTCGCCGCCTTGCAGGCTAGCTCTGCACAATGGTAAACTTAAGCGGACGAACACACTCAGCTAACTTCATTGTCCTTCCGCAGAAGCTCCCCCACCTTGATTAGACGCTATGGCGGGCAGTCCGGTGCGACTGGTGCTGCTGAGCACTTTGCAGCCAAGGCCATGGGCATCATTAATCAGAACCTCGACACTCCCAGCCTCGCTGAGATTCAGGCCATCTGCCTGATCATCATCCACGAGTGGGGTTCCCGCAATGCCGTTCGCGCCTACATCTACCTGGGCCAGGCCAGTCGCATGGTCCAGATGTACCGCATCCTCCACAGCCACCATGCGGCCGTCAGTGATGCCGATAGGTTCCTTCAGGACGAGTCGTTCCGCCGTGTGCTGTGGCTGTTGTACATCCTCGACTGCCTACTGACCAGCACGCCCGGCCGTCAGCCGGCTTTGTCTGCCAACGACACGGCTGACGTCTCTCTGCCCTGCTCCGACATGAACTTTGCCTTCGGCAATGCTGTCTACGTTCAGACCATCAACCTCAGCGATCCATCTCGGATGCCTTCTGGCTCCCGTACCGACGAGGTTGGTGAGTTTGGCCAAATTGTCATGGCCACTCGCATCTGGCGCGACGTTGTCCAAATGTTGATGACCACGACCACTGAGACCTTCAACGATAATGTCTGCACTGGTCTCATGGGCGAGATCGAGCGCCTTCGTGCTTCCCTGTCGATGCAGTACGTCGACAAGCCGGGCCAGATTAATCTCCACATCACCATGGGCTCTGGCTTCACATATGCCATGCTGCACTGCATGCTCCATTGCGCATCCATCTTCATCAACCGCCGCCGCCTGCTGCAGTATGTCACTGCACCTGGCTTCAACCTGGAGAGCTGGCGCCTGACCCCCCAGTGCCACGATATTATCGATAGGCTCTTTACGTCGTGCCACAGCACCATCGCCATGCTCACTGCTCTCGAGACTGGCTTTGACAAGGAGGGCATCATCTGCTTCCCCATCTTCATGCTGTTCTCGTCCTTCACTGCCAGTGCCACCGTTGCGTACCTGTCTCTCAAAGGCCTGACTCCCCCTAACGCGGTCGAGACTGCCGGGCATATTGTGCGCGACGGTCTCCACTTCATGCAGGATGGCGTTGACACCTGGCCTCTGATCAGCTCCTGGCTGCGTCACCTTGCCGTTATGCATAGAGTGCTCGGCAACGATGCTGTCGCTGGTAGCCCCAGTGTTGCAGGCACCTCTGTCCCTCCTACCAGCGCCCCGCCCGCCGACCAGGCCTCTGTTAAGGACGAAGCCGCCTCGAACCCAGACACCAACCCCGACGCAATGGACTACGACCAGACCTCCAACTCCAACGCCGGCACTGGTGCCCCCGTTCCCCCGGCTCCTGCCAATAACCACACTGCCTCTGTGAGCGAGAGTGGCCGAGAGAGCGGCCGCGACAGTGAGCCTCCTGCGCCTCTGCCGCGTCGCCCCGGTGTCACTACTATCAACGGTGGTTCCGGCGGTGTTGGTACCCCGGCTTCCGTCAGCCCTCCTCCTCCCCAGCCGGCCGAGATCAAGCAGTCTACCGAGATGCTTCCTCAACCTCCCATTTGCAACGGCGTGGCGTCTGCCGAACCTTCTGCTCCTGTGCCCCAGGACATGACGGCTAGCGAACTCTGCTCCGCATTCGAGCGCCAGCTACTCGAGCTTGACGACCTCGCTGCCTTCATGGGTGGCGGAGTTTGACTCACCTCTTGATCAAACTTGACCTTCATGGAGAGACTTCCAATTCTTTTAACGAAACACTGCAACGCCTCGGCACAGTTTCAGACCGACATATTGTACAGTACGACAAAAATACCCTGCGGATGCTTTTTTTTGATCTTGCGTCGGCCAGTCTCTCGAACCGGTTCCAGTATGGGATAATTGTGCTTTGACATCTAGGCAGAGTGGGTGTTGCGGAGGCTGTCGTAAGTACGCGACGTCTTGGGCACTATGGTATTTAGGAGGACCGCTTTCACGGGCACCCTTACATAGGGAGCAAATGGATGTGCTTCTCCTGTGGGAAGGAAGGTAATGAGTTCTCATTTCGGCGTTGGAGGTGGTTCGTCAACGGTAGGCTGCGGCCAGCTCTACGGAGTCGTTGATCTTTATGTGTTTGTCCTGCGATAAGGCAACATTCGAGGACTTCTTGATTGCCTCATTTGAGGCCATGCTGCGTTAGCAAAAAGCAGCCATTAAGGCGTTAGGTCCCAAGTTGCATGGTAGCTTTTAATCGAATACCCATGGCACACTTCATCACTCTGTCTTTTAACTCATGTGAACATGTGCTCCTTCCTCTACTACTGGCCATCTGACGTCTGCAGCGTGCATTGTAGCTGTCGCTGTGAACCTTCTTTTCTTTGTGACATTTGTCTTGCATGATTTGGAAGAAGGCCAGAGAATTGGGTCAGGTAAGCGGACTGCCAATCTCGACACCAGCCGGGCCCAGGATAATACTCTTCCCGGATGTACCTCATGATCAATATGTTCGTCTCGGGTTGTTGACACCTGTAATGTCTCCAGAGTTCGTGCTCCCTGCCCAATGAGGTAGAGACCAAAACTTACAATCCTCCATCATGTCAGAGGATCCAGGCTGATGTCAGATGTTCTACGCAGTATGCGAACGGTTAAAGTATTCCTAGTGAGCGGCCCTGTGTTTGTTAGTGGATGAGACCAGGGGCGGGGCCGGGGGTGGGAGCGGATTTCGGCATTCGGCGCAACACACATCCCTGGCCCCGCCCACACGCCACACGCAAGCCACATGTAAGCCTCAGGCTCACCTCCATCAGCCATGACCACATCTGAGGCTGTTGCCAGCAGGACCGGCCGGGTTTCAACATTTTCAACTTCAACTCCGCCTCTCGACATACATATGCCGCAAGGACCTCAACATCGCCCACACCACTCATGGCCCAAACCCGGCGGGTTTCGAAGCCAATCCTCCTCCTGCTCACTCCATCGCCCATTGTTCCCCCTTCCCACTTCCTAAGTTCCCTTTTTCGTTGGTCTCACACTTCCTGCACTCCATCCAAACGGCATTTGCGATACCAAACGGACATCTGAAGCCCGTTCAAAGCTGGCAGGTGTTTCGTTGGCTGCGAATATCGTGAGACAGAAAGTACAGACAGAGAGATACCTACACACAAGAGACGGAGGAAGAGAGAGGGAGATTGATCGCCTGCAGCCAAAAAGCTTAGCAGGGCGAATTTTGGCCCGCCACCAACTCCGGGACCTGGCACCACCGTAACCATCGCGCAACACACACGCCGCTGCTCAACCAAGTCCGCTCGCCGCCCACAACCCCGGGGGAAGGTGGACTTCCGGATTCTCGGCCCGCTTACCAAAGAAAGCAAAGCCTTGCCCACTGACGGATTGTACCTTTTTACCACCTTTTTCTTCCTGTTCTTCAAACTTAAACGACAGGGGTATTCGCTTCCAAGTTTAAATCCCGGATGCCGACGGGGATCGAAACCCGCGACTCGGGGGCCGCCGAGTCGGTCAACGGCGGCATCGCCGCACCCTACGGCCGGGCCTGCACCAACTGCTCCCGCGCAAAGTGCAAATGCATCCTCCGCCCCGTCGGTGGGGCCTGCGAGCGGTGTCACCGGCTCGGCAAGTCGTGCCAGCCGAGCAACCCCATCCGGAAACGCTCCAAGAAGCCGCCGTCCAGCCGGACCGCGCAGCTGGAGGAGAAGCTTGATGGACTTGTTACGCTGCTGAGGCAGTCGGGAAGGCCGAACTTGTCGGCTGATTTGGGTGTTGATATTCACTTGTCTGGGGGGTCTGTTTCCTCTTCGTCGACGACGGCTGCTGCTGCTGCTGCGGAGGCGGCGAGGAGGCAGTCATCTGAGATGGGAGATGTGCATGGCGCTGGCGGCGAGGGTGGTGGAGGATTTGACTCGGCGCAGCATTTCGGCAAAGGTGATCGCAGAGACCGTGGGGCGTCGTTGCCGACGCCGACGCAGACGGCTAGCCCCGAAGAACCCGGGTACGGCGACGAGTTACCATCGCCAGACGAGGCGGAGGCACTCTTTGAGGCGTTTCGTGGTCAGAATCTCAAATACTTCCCGTTTCTCAACTTCAAGGCTACGATGACGGCCGAGGAGCTGCGCGGCGAGAGGCCGTTTTTGTGGATCTGCATCATGACAGTCGCCTCGAGGGTATCAAGTCAACAGCTTGCGCTGGGGCAGCGTGTGCGGCAGATTGTGAGCCACAAGCTGCTTGTCGAGAATGAGAGGAGTATCGATTACCTTCTCGGGTTGTTGGTGATTTTGGGATGGTCAGTACAAGTCACGTTCGTGTTTCTGCTCTTTCTTCTCTTAGTAAAATCGTTTGCGCGTTTGGCCAGTGTCGCTGACATTCTAGGTGTCTTTTTAGGGCAAACCACCAGCTTGGTAACAAGCCGTTCATGTGCTTGTTTTGTCAGATTGCTATCGGTCTCATCTTTGACCTGGGAATGTCCCGCGACCCCTTGGACAGCCTGAACCCTTTCCTCTGCTGGAAGGCTGCTCAGGAGAGGGCTGACCGGGAGAAGACTGGGACTGTGGGGCAGACTCTGTATGTCAAGTCGCAGATGCCGCGGACGATGGAGCAGAGGAGAGCTGTGGTCGCGTGCTACCTCATCTCGTCGGCGTGAGTACCCTCGATCTACTCAACCAACTTGCCAATTCCAGGCAGTGGCACTGGCTAAGATAACAATGTTAATACCTGTGTAGCGTCGCGAGTTTCTTGGGCAAGATGGACCCCTTGCGTTGGACACCACACATGGATGAATGTCTGCAAGTTCTCGACGAACAGCCCGAGTCGCCCTCAGACCGCACCCTCGTAGCACTAGTCAGGATGCAGCTACTCAAGGAGGAGGCCGGGAAGATGTCCGCGGCATGGCGTCCCGAAACCACGTTCGACATCGTCGATTCGCACAGAACGCCGCCTGCCATGTATGTCAAGCTGCTACAGAGGCAGCTTCAGCAGCATATCCAGAGCCTGCCGTCAGAGCTCCAAAGCACAGGTGAGTCTTCTCCTTCTTTCTCCTACCGCACTTCTGCCTTTCATATCTCGGCAACTCGTCTCTAACCTTTTACTAGACACGATCATCGCCCAACTTCATTGCACAGAACTTTCCATCCAAGAAATCGCCCTCTCCAACAAGACAGGCACCTGCGTGCCCGCCAACCTCCCCGACGTAGCCCGCCTCGACATCTACTACGCCTGCCTGCACGCCGTGAAAGCCTGGTTCGACCACTTCCTGACCCTCCCGCCCGCGGCCTACTACACCACCCCCTTCCTCACCTTCTCGCAGCTCTCCCACTGCATAATCGCGCTCTATCGCCTCTCGGTGCTCGAGGACCCCGTCTGGGACCGGGCCAGCGTGCGGTCAACGATTGATCTCATTGCTACGCTCGACGAGATCGGCGACCGGTTTATGAGAGTTTGCAGCGAGGCTGGATTGAATGTTGACGTTGAGGAGGGAAATGCGTTTGCGAAAGCTGTTAAGACCATCAAGGGGCTCAAGGGAACGTGGGAGGCTTCTATGGCGCCGTTGGCCAAGGTTGACGCGCCTGCTGCAACGGGGGTTGACGGGACAGGTGTCCTTGGGGCTGGGATGGGTGGCGGTGCTGGGGTTGGGGAGGTTGAGTTGGGGCAGTTTGGATTGGATTTGATGGATAACCGGTGGTTTACGGATATCTTTACGCCGTTCGACTTTTAGGGGTTTGTTGATTTACGTGTTTAGGGTGCACCGGATAGATTATGGATGGGACGTATCATGGGTATATATCACGGGCTGGGCTGGGCTGGGCTGGGTAAGGTTGGGTATGGATTGTCGAGTCCGGCGTTGGTAGTGGGATGTTGTTGGGTCTGGGTTTGCATCACCGCTCCTCGATTAGTTGGGATGAGTACTTGATGTACTCTTTTGGGATATAAGTAGGAGACTGGGTGTACGAGTTTGTGTACGTCTGCTGCGTAACGTAATGAGACTGGATACCTTGAAGGAGTTGGCTCCGAAGTCTGGTGACTGTGTTTGAGTGTTGAAGAGGACACCGCAATGTCTTGAGTGAATGAGGGTCAAGGCGGGAGAAGGAGAACTTGTCGGCTTGCCAACATCCGCTGAAATCTGGCACTCGTCTATTGTGCCGTACGCTTCCCCATGCGTAATTGCCGCTGACTCTCCCACATTCGAAGAAGACCTTGACTCGGTATCGGTGGTAGTCGGCTCGATTAGTACGGTGTCTATGAGCTTCATAACCACGGGGCAGAGCCATAACGCGGGCATGCCGGACATATAGTTAACTGCTTGATGGGTTTCAAGCCCCTCCCCAGTCGCAGTCTCACTGCAAGAATCTCCCTCAAATTGTGTAAACGTCTCTGCTTTTTTACGTGGTCTAGGCCGATTAGATGATCTTCAAAGTTTTGATTGAATGCTTGGCGGGGCGCTGGCCAAGGCGTGTGTTGCCCGGGATTGTTCGATGGCGCTATCGAGCGGCCCGATGTCGACATGGAATCCCACCCCCAAGCCGGCAGGGAGACCGAATAATCCCACGCGTCTTTTTTTCTCTCTCGCGGTTAGCATCTGGATGGTTTGCCCCATTTAATGCCCTTGGATTCAATGGCGTTCAAGCTCAACGGTAACAGACTCTTTCGTTGCCCTTGCCAAGCTTCTCCTTGACGCGATGAAATGACAGCGTTCTGCTCGTGGCAGGTGCCATGGGATGGGATGATTGAATGGATAGCGCCATGGATTACGTGATTTCTTGGTAAGGCCGTTTAGAGGTGCTATATCAAGGGGATATTCAGCCAAGTCTTGTTTCCCGCAACGGTCTTCCCGTGTTCGTGTCTTGGCTATCCTATATTGGGACCATAATCCGATGGAAGGGACACCGAGAGAGGAATTTAGTGACACGTTCGTACCAGACCAGATTTAAAACATTTTATCAATTAGGGCATGTTTGAGATCGAAAGCAGAGTCGTCAGGTTACGCCGGCAGGGCCGACATCTCCTTGTATATCGCGAGAACCTCGCACGAAACAATCGTGGACCAATCTCTCACCTGGAGAATCCTATCTTCCTACTATGAGATCCGTAGTTTCGCATGCTTCAGCTGAGTTACGACTCACTAAACACTGTAGAGCACTTCAAGGCGCGGACATCCAGCTCTCCTCAATTGCCGTTCTAGAACGTTTGGTACCGGCTACCGGATGTCGTCATTTACCCTCGGTGTTACTCCATCGCCAGCCTATCAACAACATCCATAAAATCAGTGGGACCACGCCCGCGCGGGGGTGGACTCGGCGCGGGTGATACCACGTCCCTCGCACATCCGATTTGAGCGAATCCACGGACGTTCGAGTACGCTATGTACAAGTAAGAGAAGGGAGAGAAAGAGACTAGGGACAAGCCGCGGTGGAAACGCACTCTCCGCGGTGGTCCCTGGAACCCGTCCGTTCCTCTTTCCGTCCCAAGCTTTTTCTCCATTGCTGCTGGGACGTTACAATCGCGCGTCTCGGGATGTAGTGTAGGACGGGGGTGGCGACGGGTGTAAACTCGTGCTAACTTCAGCTGATGGTCCAATTGTGTGTCCAGGTCGGCCTAGCCGGCTGGATGTCGTTCAATTGGGTTCAAGGGAGCTGAGCTGACCCTCCATTGCGTGCTTCTGTGCCTCTTACTGTGGAAAGGTTTTCGAGTGCCAAGATGGTTGGTGTTGACTTGTCAAGCAACTCGAGCTAGCTTGAAGGCATGGGTAAGGAATATTGAGCCAAGAGATAATCGATTGTGTGATTTGGTACCCCCCGTTAGAGTGCCTGTCGCCTGCGAACATGAGTCGGGGACGGATGGTGGGAGGTTTTACTTGCAGTCTTGAAGAACGACGTGGGAGCGCGTATCTGTATATATGTATCCTCATGCGACCATGGCGTTCATCTAGAACTCACTTCGAGATCGTGCCGTCACCGCTTTGGCCTCTTCGAACTCACCCGGGTCCTCATCCACGTGCCATCTGTGGCCCCTCAAACCTGACCGGCCGGTCAAACCTACTCCCCGCAGAACATAAGGAACGACCACCTCGACAATGGTCTTTTCGAGGCTCTTCCCGAGCGAGAAGTCGGGCGGCGCGGATTCGACTGTCCGCGCTGACCCCGAGGCCAGCGACTCTGAGCCGTCCATCATCCACGATGGCGATCTCGCGTACACCAGGGTCAAGGGAGGCAACGGCTCCAAGCCGTCGTACCAGGAGGCTGTCGGTGCTCCTGTCGAAGCTGATTCCCCGTTGGGGTACCATGTCAATTGGGTGGCCATTATTTTCCTGAATATCAATATGATGGTTGGGACTGGTGTCTTTTCTACTCGTAAGTTGGCCCAAACTCTCAATTGCTTGTGTGGCAAGATGATCAAGGCTAGACTATGGCTTCTCAAGAAGTACTAGATACTAATATAATCCCGGTGTAGCTGCGAGTATCCTCAACAGAACGGGGTCAATTGGGCTCGCCTTGATGTACTGGGTGATTGGCTTCCTCATGGCCTCGGCCGGTTTCAGTGTCTATCTTGAGTTGTCCAGTTACTTCCCCAACCGCAGCGGTTCGGAAGTCGTCTACTTGGAGCAGCAGTACCCCCGCCCGAAGCACTTCTTCCCCGTTGCTTTCGCGGTCCAGTCGGTGATTCTGTCGTTCAGCAGCAGTAATGCAGTCGGTTAGTGAAAGAGAGCATCCACGTCAGAGCTGGAGGAAATCGCTAACACGTGTGGCAGTTCTGTCTCGATACCTGTGGAGAATGGCTGATATTACGCCATCGGAATGGCAGATGCGAGGCGTCGCTATCGCAGCTTACACCCTGGCCGTCATCTGCGTCCTCGCACACAACAGATATTCCCTCTGGCTTGTGAACTTCATCGGCGTTCTGAAGCTTCTCACCCTTGTCTTGTTAGTTACCTACCCAACCTAAACCAAACTTCCCATCACAACTAACGCTCATCCTCTAGCATCTCCATAGCAGGCCTGGTAGTCCTAGGCGGCAACGTCAAACACATACCCGACCCAAAAGCAAACTTCCGCAACGCCTTCGAAGGCACAACCAGCAACGGGAACGACCTCTCCAACGCCCTCGTCAGCATCATCTTCTCGTACGCTGGCTACTACAACGCCTTCAACATGACCAACGAGATCAAGAACCCGATCCCCACGCTCAAGAAGAACGGCATCATTTCGTTGCTGACGGTCGCCATCCTCTACATGCTCTGCAACATTGCCTATTTCGCGGCCGTGCCGAAGGCCGAGTTCAAGGGCGCGAGCGAGATTGCGGCCGCGGTGTTATTTTCAAAGTTGTTTGGCGGGAGCAAGGCTGCTGCGAATGTGTTGAATTTCTTGGTCCTGTTGAGTGCTTTTGGGAATTTGTTGGCTGTGTTGATTGGATCTTCGCGTATGATTCGTGAGATTGGCCGGTTAGTAGATCCTCGTCTCGATTTGATGGAACTTTTGCTGACTTCAGGACGTAGACAAGGTGTTCTTCCATTCACCAACTTTTGGGTTTCGACTAAGCCCTTTGGAACTCCATTGGGTCCGTACATGTTGAAGTGGACAATGACCTTCATCATGATCGTCGCGCCCCCTGCTGGCGATGCCTTCTCTTTCGGTATGACCTCATCCCCCGGGATCTGCTGATCCATGCTTTGAACCCACCACTAACATCAGATGCAGTCGTCGATCTGGCTAGCTACCCCAGCGCAATCTTCAACTTCGCCATGACCTTCGGCGTCTTCGTCCTCAGACGACGTCGTCAGCGCTCCGGTATCAGTCGCTCCGAGTTCCGCGCCTGGGACTTTGTCGTCCTCTTCTTCCTCGCCATCCAAGTCTTTGTCTTGGCGATGCCGTGGTGGCCGCCAAAAGGTGGCCCGTACGCGGGAAGCGTCAGCTTTTGGTACGCCACGTATTGCGTCGTGGGTATTGGAATGTGAGTAAACCCTTTATTCAAATGTGAAATCAAAGTACAAGGAAACCCGCTGACTTGTTCTGCGTTCTGCTAGCATCCTTCTCTGCATTCTGTACTACGTCTTCTGGATGTATGTACTCCCTCGCTGGTTGGGATACGAGATCCGCACGGAGATTGTCGAGGTCGATTCCAACGGCGCCAACACGCATCGCCTGGTCAGAGTTCCCAAGGCCGAAGTTGCTGCGTGGGATGAGGTGCATGACGAGGCTGGCAATTTGAGGCGGCGACACGTTACTACCGAGCTTGATTCGGGCAACTCCAATGAGAAGGGGCTTTGAGTCTGGTTTTGGGACACAAGGACGTTTGGCTAGCCTGAGGGTAGAAAATCATGCTACCCAGGTTTGCTTAGGGTCTACTCAATCAGGGCTCCAGGGGAAGGGGATGGTATTGGTGTAGTTATGTAACTTGGTAGTGGAGAGGTAACTCTATATATCAATGTCACTCATTGGAGTGCCACCTAGCACACGAACCAGTTCAGAGTCCGAATAAAATTGCTTTTATTGTGCATCAAGAGGGTCACTATACTTACAAAAATGACCTCACTCTTCACGTCAATGATACCACCTGTTGGACCACGAGTAGGCCCATGTTTGAAGCGAAAGTATTGGAGGATGTCAGCAAAAAGATATCCTCAAGGCTGAGCATACTTCCTTTAGTCAAGAAAGGGGCCAACCGTAGTCGCTTCAGATGGAGTCAATCGTATATTCTCATCCCACCTTTGTTGGGAATCTGAACGAATTAGCACCGGCGGTGCTGCCCTACCCGCATGTTCTCAACGTTGGATATGCACTTCCGTCGTCCTCATGATACCCTTATTATCCCCAAAACCATGCCCAGTCTCCAGGATCAGCTCTTCACTCCCCGACCTGTCGCCAAAGCTGTTCTTCTTCTGATACACAGCCACTGCCGCCGGGGTATTATTTCCACCTTTTATGGTCGTACGGTAGAACTCCGGGCTTGGTGAAAAAGGCCCGTCCTCGAGTTCATAGTCTGGTGCCCCCTGGCTTCCCTGTTCCCTGTAGCCCTGCCTTCGAGCGGTGCCCGTGGTGATGTTCCCCGTTCTACCGGATCTTCCAGTCGGGTATCGGTTTTCGTAGAGGTTGTCGCTGTTGTAGTGACGGCTCGATGAGATCTTGAGGGCGCGGCCGACGAGGGGTTTTAATGCTGGTGCGCAGGCGGCGATGATGCCGAGGTTGAGTTGCAGGCTATAGGAAAGACCGTTAGGTTAACATTGTTTCAGTCCGTGAAACATTCGGACAACTTACAAGCCCCAGAATTGGATACTTTGGAGACTAGAATCACTCTTCAGTAATGTTTCTTGTCGGCAATACCTTTGAGAACTTACAAGGTTCCGTCTTTGCTGCTCGGTTGCGCAATCTGATAGATGGCCTTGATGATACCCATGATAACAGCTCTGGAATGAGTTAGCACCGATACGCACCCCTTGTGTCGAATGGAGCAAAACTTACAAGTATCCTAGACTAAGTACGACAATTAGATACACCCGTGTGCGCAACTTCATCTGCAAGACCCAAATGATGGGAATAGGCAGAGATGCGAAACAGACATCGGTAAAGATGTTGAACGCTGAGCTGAATTAGCTTCTAAAGCAATGCGAAAGTATGAGTATGTCGGCTCACCAGTATTGACCAGCGCGAAATTGACGAATAACTTGATGTTGTAACACTTTGGCTTGAGGCTCTTGTCCCAATATCCCTCCATCGGGCTGCAATACAAGAAGAAGCTAAGCCATGCCATGATTGTATAAAGCACGACGAACACTAATGATATGTTAGAAAGATTCAGGCAGTCCACACTGAGTAGGTATGGATAGATATTGTACCAATCAAAGCCCATAGTGATCTCGAGTACCACTTGTTCTTGCTTAGACGTAGCAGCGATAGTGCGATTGAGATCTTCAGAAACGCCAGGGCAGCGATGGCGGATATGATTGATTGAAAGAAGCCAACCTTGGAAAAGAAGACTTGATCTGGCTTGCTGATTGTGTCTTTGTGTCTGCCGAGTCCGTAAAACGCTTGAATAATGAAGATAACCATACCTCCACCCAGCGCACAGAGCTGGTCAAAGTCAGCATGGCCACCCTTGTCATACTACTATGGCAACCTAGTATCCTGGATCGTACCGCAGACATGATCATCATGTAATCATCGATGCCTATCGTCTTCATAATAGCGGCGCGGGTATACGTTCGGAGGACGACGAAGACGAGAGCGAGCGCGTGGAAAGTCCCCGTCACGGCCAGGATCATGGCCGTATTGCTTTCCTTGGCACGCTCCGGGTCGACGGCCGTTGTGCTGGACGTCGAAGACATTGCAGCGGATGACGCGGCTGCGCGGCGTCAAGCAGACGCACAGATGGTGAGAGGAGAGTCGAAGAAAGTCACAAAGTTTCGAGAAAGTGGACACTGAGTAGCGAGGGGATCAGCGGGTTCTTTTAAGCATCTTGCTGTTCCAATTTAGTACTCCATATTGGGGACTCATAATCTATTCTGTAGGAATAAAGGAACTGGATAGATGAAACCCGATCCACGGGGGCCACACTGCAGTAACCACGCACGCGGTACGGACGGGGCTTTCGGGAGGGATATGGATACAAGGACCTCAATCATCACGCAACGGGGAGCTGGTAACTGTGAAAGCAATCATCATTGGATGATGGAATCGGACTCTGTCAAAAGGGGGAGTCTTCGTGCTGCCACTCCTGTCTGCCTCGGGAAGGTGATGTGCTTTGCCTTTCTAGATTGCGTTCCAGAGCAGGGAGGTTGATCCGTCCCTATCAGCCCATTCGGCCTAGAATTTGGCACCGAGGTAGCGAAGCGACCGCACCATTGACTCTTTTCTTCGAGAATTCTGTACCGGAGTTTTCCTTGTAGAGAAGTGGATCGACGGATTTAATGTGCTGCACAGTTTGCACCTGCAGGATCGCCTAAGCAGGTGGTGGGCAGGATGTAGAATGAAAAGAGTGTTCAGGATCTCTCGGGGGCCACATGGATGCCTCCCACATTACGTGCCACCTTGTTGCAGTGCCGCGAGCGTCACTCTTCAACGCAGCAGCAAGCAAGAAAACGCCGCGAACTTGCTCCTAAGTTGTCAATACTGACAACGATTAACACAACGAAGCTTCTGAGCACAGATATCTTCAGCAATTTGCCCGAAATTGTTTGTTGGTGAGGAGCGGCATCAAGGAGCGATATTGATCCTGCCACCCCAATCGGGCAGCAGCAATTCGTAAGTCCTCCAAGCCACCCTGAAAAAGTGCATCGCGCTGTCGGCGCGGGAAAAAAAGAGGAGAAAATACTGGGTTTCGGTGTCGGCCATCGAACCGAAGAGGGAATCTCTGCATGAAGCCCGGTTGAAGAACCTAGCGGCACAGGAAAAAGGGAAGAAATAAACCACCGGGGCATTGTTGTTGGCGGCATCGGGTGGGAGACACGGAGGGTGTCACCGACCCATGAAAGGATCTAGTGGCCTGCCAGTCGGAAGACATGGCATGCATGCCAAGATTATAATGGGACAGTGGAAATCACATAGAGATATTGAACAAACCACCATACGATCTATCCGGATCGGTTGGTCACCCTCGAGGTGGCGAGCGGAACTCTGTGGAGTCGGACGGTGGTCGACCAGCTGGACACTGTCTGTTACAATTTACTGTTGCATGCGGGCAGTTGGGACGAACATATTGTTTTCCGAACCTTTTTTTTGACTTTTAAGCTTATGGAGCTCTAAGAGCGTGTATGATGCCGCATAGATTCGGCCCACGGAACAAGGTGATTCCAGTTTGTCTTAGTCCTAGTACTAAGTCTTTCGCTCATTATCATCGTAAAACCATTCTGAGTTAATAAATCTTATCTTCAACTTGCCGTCTTCCCGAAGCCAGTTGCCGTTTAATATCCGCCACTTTGAACTTGTGGCGAGTTGGCGACCGACGGCAACGCATCTCCCCTGTCACCCGTCCACCGGCCGGCTCCGCGCTTGGCCTAAAGAAGGTTACATTCTTCATCCCAGCATCGTGGGCCCCGGATCTGGGCAATCGAGTATTGGAGTTTTCCAGTTTCTGGCTGCCCTATCCACAGTGTCACAGCATAAAAACCGTTCGATTAGTGACCCCTCTTCATAATTCTCTTCAATGATTCTTTGCCCCTGGCAATGGATACTAGGACCATGCTTCCCGCCAACAGCGGCGGCGTTGCTGGAACATTCCCGCTGCCCAGTGCGGTTACCATCTCCGTCCCGCGGATCCGAAGCCCTGCAGGCCGCCACGGTCGGGGGCACTAGTGCAGACAACGGGATTTTTAATTTATTCCCAACGTCGAACAGGCATCTATCTACTCCGTATATAGCTAACGAGATCTATCTGGTCGTTGATTCTCTTGTGACTGTTCCGGACCGTCCTGTCCGCTCCCACTTGCCACTTGACCTTGCGCACCTCTAGTGGAAATCCTATCCAGTTCTCTCTGAGTGTTGACGTGCCTCGGATCACAGCTCTCTCTCTCTCTCTCAGTTCCTTGCTTGCGCACGCGGCTACCCTGCATTTTAATTATTCCATCTTGAACAAACCAGAACTTTCAGCAATGCTTCCCCTCACTATTGCGGCTGCGGCCGTGGGCTTGCTGATGGCGCCGGTCATGGCCTCGCCCATCGAGACTGGCGATGTTCTCGCCGAACTCCAGGATAAGGCTATGAGTGCTCTGACCGCATCGAGCGCGGGCAACAAGCGCAGTAGCTGCAACATTTTCAATGCTCGTTACCGTCGGGACTGGTTCGACACTCCCCCACCATTACAGTGTCGATCTCGAATTGAAAGCTGACCCGTCTTCAAGGGAGGCGTTTTCTTCCCAAGAGAGGAAAGACTACATCAGTGCCGTCCAGTGCCTATTAACATCCCCTTCCAAGTCGGACCCCGAATTCGCTCCCGGTGCTCGCAACCGTTACGATGACTTCGTTGCCGTGCACATCAACCAGACAACCAAGATCCACGGAACTGTGAGTAACATCTACACTCATGACAAATCGTGTCGCGATCTAACATGGCACTTCAGGGCAACTTCTTGACATGGCACCGCTACTTTGTCTGGGCATACGAAGAGGCTCTGCGGAACGAATGCGGCTACAAGGGCTCCCAGCCAGTAAGTGGATTCCATTACCATGAACGGGAGATCTTCCAATGGGTCTGACAATTACATTACAGTACTGGAACTGGTTGAAGTACCAGGACGATCTCCGGAAATCCCCTGTCTTTGATGGCAGCGATACCAGCTTGAGCGGCGACGGCGCCTTTCTCCAGCACAACGGCAGCGTCAGCGGTGCAGGTGCCATTGTCCTGCCTTCTGGCGATGGGGGTGGCTGCGTCACGAGCGGTCCTTTTAAGAAGTAAGCTTCCCTCGTACATATTCGCACCGCTGCATTGGTGATTAACATTCACCTAGCATGACCGTCAACCTTGGGCCGGTTAACCCCGGCATGGACGGCCTCGAGGCCAGCCCGACCGGCAAGCTTGGCTACAACCCTCGCTGCCTTAGTCGCGATCTGAGCAACTACACGGCCTCAACCTGGTTCACGAACGAGAACATGCTCAACATCACGGTAGGCGCGGCCTCCAAGAGCATAGAGCTTTTCCAGAACGAGCTTCAGGGCCGTTTCTCTGACGGCTTCCTCGGCATGCACGCGTCCGGCCACTTCTCCGTCAACGGCGAAGCTAGCGATCTGTACTCCTCACCCGTCGACCCCAGCTTTTTTCTGCACCATGCCATGGTTGACCGCGTATATTGGCTGTGGCAGGCCCTCCACCTGTGGGACGCTTTCAACATTGCTGGTACAATTACCATCAACAACAGGCCGGCTAGCAGGGACGCACTGAAGACTGATATCCTTGACCTTGGCGTCAATGCTGAGAACCGCACTATCGACGAGGTCTTGAACACTATCGGCGGTTCTCCTCTTTGCTACGTCTACGTATGAGTCTAGGGATGATTCTCGTTTGGAGGTTGGACTGCATGTGGTCAAGAGATGCCCACAAGTACCACGATAATAGCTAGAGTAGGTCCAGTGCATTGCCAACCAGGACCATTGTACATACAAGGCTCTTCTATGTAATAATTGCACCATCGATTCAAAAGCAAATTTAAGGATTGGCCGCCGTAACGTCGTAGTCCTCAAAAGAGCTTTTGCCGAGACTCAAAAGAGACGTCTCTCTTAAGCACGTCTCAACTCAATATATGGGTGAAACCACATGATGATTATTGCCTATCTGTCGATGAGTCGAGTTGATGTCATGCTTCTTCGGTATGAACTCTGATTCTCAGTCGAAGTGTGGAAGGCGCTAGTGATATTATGGGTGGAGTCTTGACATGGCTTAGCCCTCCATGATCCACGCACAACTCACGATGCGGCATCTTGGACCTCCAGCCGCTGGTAACAATCACACACCTTCAATAGCCTGCCCGGCTAGCTCAATCGGTAGAGCGTGAGACTCTTAATCTCAAGGTTGTGGGTTCGACCCGTAAGTCTATCTCGACACCTAGGAACTGATCTAGGTTCAATGTCTAACATCTCATAGCCACGTCGGGCTCAATTCCCGTCAGCGATTGACTAAAACACTTCTTTTTTGTCTATATTCTATTATAGGTTTCATCTCTGTCCGTGCTGACGCTAATCTACCGTTGCGATTGGCTCTCTAGCTTGCCTACTCGTATTGACGCAGCGAACTGTCCTTCAACAGCCGGTCCATGGCACTTCGCTGCATACATACACTCACATCAAAGTCACCAGTGTAGGCAACATCCATGATCTGAACCAAGCCATCAATCTTTGGCATGACGCCCTGGACATACCGAGCTAACTCCCCCGTGCCCAGGAAGTCAAGCTCGTATGTTTTGGCTCTCACCCAGGATGTCACGGGGGTGTGATGAGTTCCCAAGAAGCCTTGCCATAACCGCTGAGGGCTGACCTCGTGTGCGGCGTCATGGATGTAAGCTGCAACCGCATCTGGCGTGAAGCGAGACATCATCTGCCTGATAGCGCCGGCGATAGGCCCAAGATGGATTGAGCTCGCTTCGTTGGCGGTTTTCTCAACATACCCTAGAAGGAGAGGAGATCCAACAAAAGTGTCTGGTAAGGGTGGATCGACGCGATTTCGAAGACCCAAGGTGATGTTCAGATATGCTTGTTCAGGTTTTCCTTCATGGCCGCGCGCACGGTTCATCAAAGTCCAGATATGGGCCAGAACTGCATCGAGCCGGGAGACTCGGAGTGATTGCAGGTCGTCCGGCAGGCTCGCTTGCGCAGCTTCCTTCAGCCGGGTCAACTCGGCTGCCGCGAAACGTATTTGAACATGCTCAACTGGCGCACTCATGTCCCAAGTCGGCCACGGAGGATATGTTGACGGACTGAGTTTGGTTGTTCTTAATTCGTCCGGCGGTGGCATGGTGGCTAGTGAAGCTGGTCTGACACCTGGAGGATATCCTGGCGCATCTTCTGCCCACCAGTCAAACCGGTGCATCGGCAATGCTCGAGCCTTTGCAACTATTGATGCGTCCGGGAGACCTCCGGGTGTGAGCCCTGCAGCTTGGTCAAGCTGTGCCGGATCAAAGACAGGTTTGAATATGATCAGACCATCGATTGCAGTAACGTTGCCCAGTAGAACCCTCGACCTTGTTGCCCAAGAGTACATGAAGTTCATCAAGCATACAGCATCTGCGAGAGGATGCGAGACCATTGCGCTGATCCCAAAGCCTCCACACTTGAACGACGTCAGCTGAACGGCCATAGCAGGCAGCCCGTCGATAGCATTCAAAGACGTGAGCGCAATCTTGGTTTTTGGCAAGAAATCGCTTTGCTGGAAGTTCGAGGCGTTCCACTCTTTCAAATTCGTCGCCCTCTCAGCCCGGCTAGGGACTATATCGCTGAGCTTTGAGTCGTGAGTGGCGATGGATAACTCAACCCCGGGATCTTCGGTCGAGCCATACGCAACTACTAGCCGGCCAAGGTGTCGCGACACTGCGTCGTCTTTGACTTGCTCGGGTGTAGCCCATTGGAGTTGCCCTGCAAAGTGCGGATAATCGTTTAGTGTTTGACTGAGTGAGTGGCTGAGGTTCCCAAAGAATTCAGTGCGTGACAATTGTGACGTTTCTGGCTTGTCGTAAAGCCATATCGCAGCCGTAGGCGTGAAACGGGCGACTGTTGAATCAAGTATTGAGAGTTTGGAGACGACGGGCCCGGTGGAAGGTGAGTTGGGTAATATTCTCCGAGTTGCGTCGATGTTGCAACGTTGCGCAGCGCTTGTGGTTGCTGACATTCTTATTGACTCTCGTTGGGAATGGCTGTGAGAGGCTTCGAATGTTGCAATGTCTCGCTGTGACATAAAGTGAGCTCTAACATGAACCAAGGTGTCAAGTAAGCCTACGGGCAAGATACTGCGTGTTTAATAGGTCCAAGTCTTCAACGCGCACAGACAAGACGCTAGAGGCGAGAGACGACATGGGTGCCCGTTCGAGGTTCGGCGAGCAGTTGATGTGGCTCCGGTATGATTCATTCTGCATCATGCCTGAAGTCGACTAGCTCATCACTTGTTGATTGGGCGTTGAGTCTGATATGGCGCGCGGGAGGGTCCTGACCCCTGTTGATCTCGCTGCGATATGACCAACAAAGTGTTCGAGCGTCTAAGCGAGCTTCTGGCTGATGCATGTCAGATCACGAGTTCCCGTTCAAGCTGCTGTGCCTCACGTAGTTTGTTGATGACAAGCTGGATGAGAGTGGAACGCTTGTTCTTACCTGTGCTACTCCTAGAATATGCTCGCTTCTATATGCTCGCTAATTCATGAAGGTGAGGTTTGAGAATAACTTGGGCATGACATGGCCGAATTGCGAGCGCCTCGATGTTGTACCAGCCCAGCTGGGCTTGATAGTGATGTGACTATGTACTCGACTGTGGTTTGGAGCAGGATTAGGGCCTCTAATAATGGATTAAAATGTGTGAGAACAGTGCTGGAGGATCGTCTAAAACTCGAGAGCTATGCCCAGTGCCCAAATGCTATACCGAATATCACTAGAGTGATGTGGAAGCTAGCTGGATCGTCAGTTCCCCAATACTTCTAGAATGATCTCCTAGTATAGAACTCAGGTCTGTGAAATAGAACAGCTGAGGTCTATTCAGAAATAAGCAACATAGATACTTCCTCGGAATCCTTCGCCCGAGGCATGGTCAGATGGCCGGGCTTAATGTGCCACGAATTGAAGTCAGCTTTCTCACACCGGTCTTAGCTGGCAGAAGCTTGCATCTCGAGTTTTGCCTATTAACTTGTCCAAACTATTTACACGTATATTATCATAATCGAAAGCTCATTGAAAACTTAGACGCACCCTCAGCCGCAGAGAGTGTTCCAGCGGCTGCGCCAAAGAAACCAGTAAGATGTCTTGTACCTTGAGGGAAGAAGGCGGACCAGCAACCGCGGATATAATCATTGAAGCGAGCGGCTGGATAATGCTGAGATCGTGTGGGTTGTGTTCCCGGGACTTGTTAGTGGTGGCTGAGTACAGCACAGAGACTGGAGCTCATGGATATCGAGGTTGCTGAGGCATCAGCCCTCATATCTCGTGCCCAACTCGGACAAAGGAAAGTACTGAATGGCCGTGGGGAGGACATGTACGCGGTGAGAATGACACACGTAGCTTCTCGATGCTACCCCATGCCAAGTTAATTATATGCGATGTGATGTGTTCATCAGGCGTCTTGGCCTATCAGATCAATCACCCTATGCAACGAATCCTATTATCACCCTTCGCTAGATACATCAAAGGTGGCTGCTCCCAACTTGACGGCTATCTGGCCGGCGGCACAGTAATGAAAGTAAGCACAAGACTGCAGTCTGGTATGAAGCACTCATTGAGGTGGTATAGCCGAGGGTGGTCAGATATTAGTGGCTCTCAACGATACTACCACCTTGACCTGCAGCAGTTCTTCCCGATCAGGGAAATTGCTTTGCCCATCTATTTAGGGCCGAGCCGACTGGAGTCAACCGTAAATGCTTGCTCTGTTCGTCCCCGCACTCCAAGCCATAATCGCGGTACCGAGAATCATTCTGAGTGGATGTCACGTTTTGTGCGAATAGATGCACACGTGCGGCGGGAAGGCTGGGGGCCCTTCCATCTATGCTACCTAAGATCCTTCAAGTGATAGCTCGCTCTTCTTGGACCAGAATGATGTGTCCGCACTCCTCAGCTTCCACACTAAGACGACACGCAGTAGATGCAGACACCTGTCGCCCAGCCACAACCTACAATATGCACGCACCTTTTCTCCGGCAGAACCTAGTGGGGAAGCCTAAGTTGCGCGCCTTCATAGGGCTGATGTTTTGGGACAGAGATGATGCAAGGTCGGTGGGCAGTGCTGGTAAGGTGGCACTGCCCCTACGTCGGGCGCGATGCAGCTTAGGGCTCGTCTGGAGATCGTGACTACCTTATCTGTCTGTTCTCAAAGCATCGGAATTCGGTCTCAGTCAGTATATATTAAGACTAGTTGCTTCTCGACACCAAAAATGAATTCGCAATACGAATCATCATATACCACATCTCAAATATTTCTTTTCTTCTGTTCTCTGGTTTTATCATATTCCTTTCCCTTGTCTCCTTGCAGTCCCCAAAGTCATTTCTTTCAACCCTTATACTCCGCATAAATTATTACTATCTCATTTCCTTATACCAGTCATTCACAATGCCCATGCTCACGTCTATTCGCAGCCGCTCAGGCTCTCCCCCGGCCATGTCCAGCTCTAAGCTTGACAGCCGTACTCCTTTCCCTAATCAATCACCTGAGATTGATAACATTCAATTTCCGCGCTCTTGGGAAGCGGCTTGGGAAGCAGCGGGCCAAACCAACTTTGAGCGCGCGCAAGCTTTTCTGTTCTTCTACCGTGGAGATGACGCTTCTACCAACAGCGAGCTCCGATCCATCGCAGCAAATCCCAGGCATCGAGATGTCGTCTCTCTTGCAGCTTCAGTCCAGCGAATTGTCTTTGGCAACCGCCACTCGACCTTCAACACAACCTCCCTTTTGCAGTGGATGCGTTTCGTGCTCATCAAGAGCCAAGCTCTTACTTCTACCAAGACGAATGCAGTTCGCGATTTCTTTTTTGACCCATCGGTAGCTCGTAACCTACCTCAGCTCCCCCAAGACCCGGTTGTCTATCAATACCCAGCAGCCCCTTTGAAAGTCATGATCATTGGTGGAGGTCCCACAGGCCTGGCTTCTGCGATTGCTCTGGCCGAGAAGGCTGGGGCCAGAGTGGAGGTCCATCTTTACGAAGGCAGATGGATTCAGCAGCCGAGTAGCTCTTTCGTCAGTTACCCACCAGGGGCCCGTCGTCGCGACCAGGTAGTCACGCTCCAAGACACTGTGACAGACTTGATGAGCGATAGAACGAGACAAGCTGTCTTTGGCGAGAATCCAGAGCGTGTTTGGCCTGGTTCCAGCAATCTCCAGATCCGCAAGCTCGAAGACGGTCTCTTGCGACGGGCACAAGACAGCCAGTTCCGCGATCTCATCTTCCTACATGCCTCACAGGTCAGACAGGACAATCTTTCGGAGTACGGCGACTTTCACCTAATGCTTGGTGCTGACGGCGCTGGTTCTTGGCTTCGCAGTGCTTACTTTCCGGGGCAAGAAGAGGAGGTTGGAAAGAGCTATGCCCTAGGGCTTGCTTTTGATCGGCCTCGTGGTCTTTCTTTCTCACAGCCCATCAACATCTTCCTCACCATGGGCCAAACTCGCTACCTCCTCAATGCCAGCGACTTCGATGGCACAGGATATCTCAATATGCAGTTGACCGAGACTGAATGGCACCAAATGGTCTCCGTAGATGGCCATCCTTGCACATTCGGGCGACCAAGTTGCCTGAAGATTGACGGCTGCCTGCCTCATGGCTTTGAGGAGAACCAGGTCTTTGCACCGTCTCAGCAACCTGACAGCCCGTTGTGGAAGGCGATACTTGATGGTCTGGAGCTTTACGGTTTCAAGCAGTGCGAATTGAAAAACATTGTTCGCATCCCCATTGTTGTACGCAGGATCAACAAAGCCGTCGAGCAGGTTCCGCAGTGCGATTCTACAGCCCTGCGCCGACCCCACGGTCTGGTTGCCTTGGCTGGGGATGCGGCAATGACGGTGCACTTCTGGCCTGGGAGAGGTGCGAACTCCGGCATGAAGGCAGGCATTGCTTGGGCCGATGAAGTTGCTCGTGCTCTCTTCCACGGCCAATTCGTTGGTCTTCAGACCTCTTCGCTGGGGATGTATCACGACTTTCTGCAAAAGCTCCAAGAGCGGGAGCACGGCGGTCGCAGCTTGCCCATCGTCAAGCAGACCGGCGATCCTGATATGATGGCCTGGCTGATGCGCAACGCTCGACTTATCCCGCATCACGTGGCGATGGAGTGGCTAGTCGGTCAGATGCGTCGTGATGGTGTCCGCATTCAAAGGCGTGCCGACTGGGCTTTTGAGCAGGTTAACAACCTCGAACCGCAGCTTCGGGAGATCCTCGAGAAGATGGATGTCGTTACCATTCAGGAGATGGCCGCGACGTTCCCATGGCCTACGCGGGAAATGGCCGGGGCCGAAGTCCTTCCGGAGAGGTCTGTAGTTGACGCCTGCTTGAGTGGCCGTAGGCCGACAGGAGTTTCGAAGGTCGAGAAGCAAACAAAATCGAAAAAGCAAGACAAGAAGAAAAAGAGGGCAGAAATTTCCGTATCCGCCTCTGAGATTTCGCCGGCGTTCTTGGCTAGCTTGGTGACTCATAACAAACCAGCTCAGCGGTCTTCTTGGCGTTCATTCAGCTTTAGCAGAACGCCTCAAGCTGTCCAGTCGTAGTTCTCTCATCAGGACAGCGGATTTGCGAAAGGTTCAAAAAGAATGAAAGTTGCTGACGGTGGCTGTTCATGGTTCTGGTAATACGACATGAATGGGTGGAATTTACACGAATCAAAATCTGAAACTCGGAAAGGGAACTTTAGCTGGCGTTTTGAGTAGTTGGGTTTTGCTTAGCATGGTATTGGAGTCCAGTGGAATTGTCCTGCTTGAAATTTAGCAATGAGAATAATTGAATAAGCCTTTGTAATCAATGTAACCAAATAATTACTGCTTGTTGTAATTTGTTCTAAATGATGTTATCGTTGATATAACTCATAAGCTGTACATCGATATCGAGCCGTGCAGGCTCTGAAGACTGAAAGTGCAAGTCCGCGCCAACACAAGGCAGATTCACCACGTCAAATCTGGCCAACCACTCGCCGCAGCAGGCCAACCAATATGCGGCCAGCCCCAATATCTTGAATCGCGGCGGTGCTGTTGGAGGAGGTCTGGCGCCAAACCATGTGCCACAGAATCGGCCTCTTTAATTCGCTGATGGCAATGCAGTGCAACCAACCCGTACGCCTTGAAGCCCTCAAGGCTGCGTGACTTCACCGCGTGAACAGCTTTACTTAAATAGAGGCAGTTGGCACTCCGAGGGCTATTGATTGAACTTGAGGTCATGTACAAGTTTCTCCCGATCACGTCTCACAGAAATCGGTGAGTGTTCAACATGTCAAACGCAGACAGCCAAGGACCGCTATCGCTGGAAGAAAGATGGCAAATGTGCAAAATTCAGGATGACCACAAGGCTTCCCTCATTGAGGTATTTTCGTACTCTCTGGCTGGTTCAAGCATGATTTGCCAAGTACCTAACCGACCGGCCCACTCAGGATTTGTTCTCTCACATTGCAGAGCTTTCCGACAAGCTCTCCGAGGTTAAGATGGAGCTAAAGGAAAAGAAGATGCTAGTACGGTCTCTTTTCGATACCGATGACAGGATCAAATATCAGATCGAAAAGTTGCAAAACGAGAAAGCATGTTGTACAACCCGCTTTACCAGCCAGAAAGGCACTGACCCAGCTAGGACAAACACTGTTTTGCAACGGTCCTCGTTGACGGCGACTGTATGCCAGTAAGTCAGAACTGTTCAACCTTTTTGCTTGCCATCTACAAATATCTCAGTTTTCTGATGACTTGGCGAACAATCAGTTTCTGGATGATCTTATTGAGAAAGGACTCGAGGGAGGCAAGAAAGCTGCAAGCCTTTTACGTCTCGCTGTTTTTGATGAGCTAAAGGCCATTGACCCCTGCCTTCCGCATCACTTGCAACTTGCCGTCCGCGTTTACGCCAACTTGAAGGGTCTGGCCAAGACTTACACCGAAATGGGCATTATCCCTGATCCGAGCGTTTTGGATGATTTCGTCCGAGGCTTCAACATGTGGAACGCAATGTGCGACTTTGTTGACGCGGGTAATGGCAAGGAGTGTACGGATGAAAAGTTGAAGGGTGAGTGAACTTACAAAAGCATCCAAAGGGCGACGACTAAGATCTTTCAGCAAATTTTGAGTCTAGTGTGTCCGATGTTCACTGTCGACATGTTTTGTTTGGTGGTTCGGCAGATAGCGGTTACGCTCGCGTGTTGGGATCGTACCTCGATAACGATGAGATTCGCAAGAAGGTCGTCCTTCTCGAGGGACCTCCATTTGCGCAGGAGCTAGCCGAGATTAAAGACCAGTTCCGCGTCGCTTCTTTCAACAGGGTTTTCAGGCGTCAGAAATTGTTCAACAACATCAAGCGTAAGGTTTCTTACAACATCACACCACCATTGACGCCCTCGCCCAACTATGCGTCAGCCGCTGCCAAAGCTCCATCGGTTCTCGCTGGAGACCTGCCAGTACGTCAACAAGCCATGGTCGACTCCAGGATGCCTCCTTTAGGGCAGGTGCTTCGGAACAAGGCCGGGCAGCGAATTGATCCACCACTCGATTTTACCCACCAGGAGTTCATTCTGATGAAGAACCGCAAGTTGTGCAACAGTCTTCATCTTTTGGGTAGATGTCCCTATAGGGAAGCTTATGGGAAGTGTTCGCACGAGCACAAAGGCAGGCTGAGCCCGAAAGAGTTGCAAGTTCTCTGGGCTGTCGCTCGTCAGTCTCACTGCCATACAGGTCTCAGCTGCACCGATCCAAATTGCGTATTTGGCCACCAGTGTCCTCGGGAGAGTTGCAATGGGGCAAGCTGCCGCCTGAGATTCCCACTAGAGTTGCATAACATTGACAAAAGACCTACTCGATGATACTCGGAGAGGACGCACCATTGCTGCATGAGGAAAGTGGATGAAGTTATGAGTACTTCTAAATGAAGCATAGAGTCTACTAGAACGTCTAAGGGTGTAACACCTGAGATAAAGTCCCCAACGCAATCAAATCTAACCTGAAATATATATACTCCAAACTTCTATTGTGTTCGTAACAGGGCCATTCAGAGTTTCTTCACCATAATGTTATCAGTTTGGATCACTGATCCAATGGCAAAGTCATGGGTGCCACATTCCTCATATCCCCATTTCCCATACGCCTTTTGCGCCCGAAGATTCTCTTCCCAGACGCCCAACCACATGTGCTTGAACCCTTGTTCCCTAGCCATGTCTTCTAACCTGTCTGCCAGAAGCTTTGCAGCGCCCGTGCCTTGTGCCTTTGGATACATGTAAATTCTCTGCAGCTCAACAGTACCGTCAAGATGTGAGATACATGGCTCTGAGGAGCCCCGGGTGAGCATGGCGAAACCCAGGATGTCTCCAGTAGGATCAACCGCGAGTAGTGTGTCTTTGGTTGAGTCGTCGAGATCTTTTGTGATGGCTTCGAGGCTGTAGGACTCCTCTAGGAACGCTTGGAGCTCATGCGGCTCGACTGAATGGCCGAATGTGACCGTGAAGACATGGGTGGCGAGCTCTGATATTGCTGTGGCGTCATCAAGAGTTGCTGGCCTGAGCGTGGCCGTCATGCGAACGCCTTCTTGGACCTTGGAGGACTTTGCCATGGTCGATGTAGTCAAGGTTGAGAATAAATTGTAGTGAATCGGGATATGCGTGGCGTTACGTGGCGTGCTTTTTTGGTGCAATTGATGGCCCACAACGATTGCAGATCTGATCGGATGGTTCGGATTACTTCTCAAGCCCAGCGATCTGGTTCTAACGCCCTTTTGTACGGTTCCAAGATATCGCAGACCTGCTATCATCTTCATTTGACCCTAGCCAGAAGACTTTCCCAAAATCGATGCTTCTGGAAGACACGTCGCTAAAAACGCTAAATTCCCACTGACAGGGCGCATCGAGCCGCGTCGGCTGTTGTCTCTGTGCGGCTATTAGAGGAAAGTCTCGCCTTTGTTAGGGCGCCTTATTGTCAAGCCACAGGTCAAGATGCAAACTGATTGGTTGCATCTGCTCAAAAGTCTCCATCTGGCCTGCGCCCTTGGCACGACACCGGTCATGACCGAAATCTGCACTCGATTTGTCTCCATCACATCAACAGAACCAGATGTTCTGGACAATTCTCGAAAGTGACGTATCTAGGTGGAAGTTCTTCCGAGTCTTTTCCACTTGATGTTTCAGACCAGAAATCTCAGGCGCTAAAGATATTTTCGCACGTCGATTGACCTACCTTTAGCATGACTCAGTCTACATTCTCAGATTCTCAAACATTCAGTGATGAAGGAATCTCAATGATATTGGAATTTAAGGTATAAGCTACGGGAATGTTTGCTAGATGAACGACGAAACAGAAACTGAAGACTTAGCTTGATTGATGTTACCCATTGAAACTCCAGCAATCCCATGTGCTTAGGCGCGTTCCGACTTTTCCTCCCTGTTCTTCTGTCTCGTACCAAAGATGACGATACCACACACAGCAGCACTTGAAATCGCAACGAAGAGAGCACTCACTGTGGAGAACCAACCCACACCAATGCCCTGAATACCTGGAAGTACCACTGCCGTACCGATGGCAGCAAAAGTGTACCTGATGAAGTAGTTGCCAGCTAGCAAAATACTGTCAGCTTATCTGGCACTAGGCCGAGGGGAGGAGGTTGAGCATGCTTACCCATGACTTCAGCTGCCCTCTCTCTGAAGACATCTAAACAGTAACTATTAAGACACGGGAAGCAGACCATCTGCGCAACGCCTTGCAAGAACATGCAGATGACGGGGAGTGGGATTCCGCCCTTAGCCTTGTCGATTGCCCATCCATAGATGATGGTGGTCGCCGGGATGACAACCCCTAGCGCGATAAAGGCACTTCGTAGACGGTCTTCCGGAATACGCCGTCCTCTCTTAGCGATCCACTTCTTCACGGTGTAATCGGCATATCGGCCGCCAAAAAAGGTACCAACGAGATATCCTGCTCCAGGTGCCAAGAAGAAGAATCCTGACTGCAGAGGGGAGGTAAGGTGGAATCTCGGGTTGATAACGTAGCGAACTGGTGTCAAGAGAACCTGCATATTCCACAGGACAGACGATGCCGCAACACCCTGGGTGCATAGTCAGCTGATGATACACATTGGTGAAGGGCCTTACCGCCGTAGGCTGTAGCTACACATCCACTGGGACGGCCGTTGTTATACCGTAATCGGTCTGGTGAACACCTCAAAGGCTCGTTGATGACGAAAGGGCGAGGAGAACTCACGACGATGAGGATCTTGGGGTACCGAAATAGACTGATGACTCGAAACGGATTCGCCCACTCCCAGATCTGGCTAATCTTCTCTTTGGTTGTCATTCCCTCCAATTCTTCAGACCACTTTCCGTGACTTGTTTCCGGGAGGAAGGCGACTGCCAGGACCATAGCAGCGCCACCGAGAGCGCCCTGGAACCAGAAAAGAGATTTCCAGGTTGAGTACGTAACGATGACACCTCCGATGAAAGGACCAAGAGCAGGCCCGATACTTATGAAGAGTACATGTATCAGCCATGAATGTTCGGTCGACCAGAAAACGGAGCGTGAAGGGGCTTGGACTCACAGGGTGCCTCCAAGAAACCAACCCAATGCCGTGCCACGTTCAGTCGGACGATAAATGTCACTGAGACAGGCAGACCCAACGATAAGGAAAGAGGTTCCGGCAAATGCAGTGATTGATCGGAAGATGAAGAAAGCTGGCAGATTGGGGGAAACCGCTGTAGCCAGTGAAAACGTGCAGAACAACACTGTCGATATGACGAAGATCTAGGACATTTAGTTCAAGTGTAGGGCGAGATATATGCCAAATTGGCCGATTGAGAGCTGACTGCAACTATGATACATGACGGTGGGATGTACAAAGGTGGGATTGCTTACCCATTTTCTACCGTAGACCTGACTTAATGGGCCCCAGAAGAGAACACCGATGCCCATCATCAATAGGAAAAGAGCATTGGTAAAATTGATGACTGTTCCAGTTGTGTTGAAAGCCGCTGCTACCTCCGGCAACGCTGAGAGCACGAGCAGTGAAGCTAGGTTAATGCCCAAACCAGCGAAGGACACGATGGCTGTGATAATCCGCTTACGACCGGGTGTAAAACGATCGTAGACTGTCTCATCTTCACGGTACGAGTATGGTCGGCTGGGCGTCTGAGCAATAATGTTCACACCCTTCTCAGCGTTGGAGGTTCTCAACGCAAGCAGGTCGGGAGGTAATTCGTCCTTCCTCGTGGGGACCTCTGACAATGTGTGTTCAGACATGATGGACATGATGACGGTGATGATTCGAACATGGAATAGAAGCAACAGTAGTGGGGAAGCTGTATTGACAACTTGAAGTTCAACTAGGCAGCTGATGAGAGCGAAGAGTTGACAAGACAGAGTGACAGGGATTGCCAAGGAAATGTGTCCACCAAAATCATGAATAACCAGTCCTGAATTGTTCCGATTTCTGAGGGGGGCTAAGCGCTGTATATAAAGCATCAAAGACCACACCAAAAAAAAAATGTCAGAAAATTCTCGGCTGCATACTTACCCACCTCGGGATCATGATTCCGAAGTCGGGCACTGGGACTATCACCGCCGAAACGCCTTCAAAGACATCATCCATGGTCTTTGTGTGAGAAAACTGCCCCCAAAATCAGCAGAAAATGTTTCATTGGGCCCCGGTCTTTGGACCTATGTGCTAGCGGAGCGTCTCCGCAGCGGGGAATATCTGCAACCTTTTACGTCTGTCACCTCCACTTCGGGTTGGAATCAGGCTTTGATATTGGACAAGGGCGACGACCTGGAGCTCCACCAAGGCCGCAAGTGTCTTATCTAACATCATTCTCCAGGTTGGAAAAGTCTGGGCCATCTTGGAAAATACGGAAATGAGCCGGAGCCGGGGCGTGGGGGTTCACCTGGCATTTCTGGCCCCTCCTGTCGGCGCCGATGAACCGGCGCAGGGCAAGAAGGCCGAAATCGCAGCCCCCGAGGTCGGCCGGCTTTTAAGCCTCCGAGAGCCGTTCGAGGGCCGGACACGGGTCCGTCTACAGCCGGAACGTCGCACAACGTAGTGTTGCAGTAGCATTGCACACCGCCTGTCTCTGAAGTGAATGACCACCAGCTCGATCATTTGCAGTAATGGATTTTATCGTATTACCGCTACATCGTGCTTGCGCCCGCTAGAGGAGTAGCACTACAGTAGCTCCGATTTTCGGAGCAATGAGACCCGAACTAACACTTCAAGTCTGAGTCAAGCAATTGTCTGACAGGCCTAAATTTTTGTTTTCAATCAGTCAATCCTCTTAAACGTATTCAATCGCCACCTTCTTTGCAAATTTGCAGACGATGGTTTTAAGATTGCCTGACTGCATTGGCTTTGAAACCTCTAACGACTGCATGTGCAGTCCCCCCTGCTAAGTCTCGCGAGTACATACACCCGTCTAGAGTATACGGCGTCATTATCGATCGCCGAATGCATTCATCTAGTCTTCCAATCGTACTCTAAGCTCCAGGCGTATGCGACGCGGTAAACATCTTCTTCATGCCACCACTTGCCAATGATTTGCATGCTCACCGGCAGTTTTGTTCCGGAACCTTTCAGAGGACCTTCCTCAATCGGAAGCATACCAATCGGCATAGCGAGGACCGGATGGCCTGATTGATTGAAAGGGGCGGTGTTAGCAGTGAGTCCGACTTGCTTTCCAATCTTCTCGAGCGGGGACGCGTCATAGGGAGTATGGAAATTGGCAACGTAGGGTAAGTTCGGCGTCACCAAAATATCAAACTCTCGCAGAGCATTGTCATAGTCGTCTCGTAGCTTTCTGCTGAGATTCGTCGCCTTTCCAAGCAACCCTGGGAAAGCTGCTTGCGCGTAAACCCCGTTGAGATAGATGTTCTTTGACGAAACGTATGCGTTATCCCACTGTTTCTGCGTAAGGTCCTGAAACTTGTCCGCCAAGCCGGTCATGATGTGGCCTCTCCTGCCGAATGCAAGATTTCTCTTCGCCAGGTAACCTCCACTCTTGCTGATAGCAGTCCAAACGGCTGCTCCCTTGGAGTGAAAGGGAATTGAAATTTCATCTACTGTCGCCCCAAGATTTTTTAAACCTTGGATCGCAGCCTCGACACATGCCTTGACGCGAGGTTCCACTGACGGCTGGTTCATACCTTCTATCAAGATGCCGATCTTGACACCGGATAGATCTTTCGGGGTTTTCAGCTTCTTCAAGTTATCATAGTACTTGGGAACGTTGTCTGGATTCGGTGCTGCGAACGATCTATCGTCAATGTTGTCGTTGCCCGCAATGACCTGGAGCATCAACGCGTTGTCGAGAAGTGTTCGTGTCATGGGGCCGACATGGTCATTGGTAGGCTCATTTGAGCCGCAACCGGTGTAGGGCACAAGTCCAAAGGTCGGCTTCAGCCCATAGAGACCGCACCATCCGGCAGGGACACGTATTGAACCGCCTTGGTCAGCGCCAAGAGCCATATCCACGTCTCCGTTGGCTACGAGTGCCCCTGAGCCACTTGAGCTTCCCCCGCTGCTGTAGCCTTTGGCATAGGGGTTATGTACATGCCCAGTTGAGGAAGAGCTGCTCGTAGCGGAATGACACATATTCTCGCACACGGACTTTCCAGCAATGATTGCGCCGGACTCTAGCAGCCTTGCCACACACGTTGCGTCGGTGTTCTAGTTAGGTTAGTATGATTGATGAGCATACTGGTGAGTCATATTGATTTGACTTACTGGAACGTAGTCTCTAACAAAGTTGGTACCAAGAAGCATCGGAACGCCCTTGACTGCGATGTTGTCTTTGATGGCTATCGTTTTACCTGCCAGCAATCCCCCGCTTTTGGTCTTGTCCTCTACTCGGCACCTCCAAGCCCAAGCACCCAAAGGATTCTCCGAGACAACCGGAAATCGAATTTCCTCCCTTGGAAATCTTTCCTCATCTACTGGAGGCACATAATCTGCGACGTAAATTGTCATTAGTATGTCTTCAACTAAGGTCGGGACACGAAACCTACCAGGGAGTGACATAAGACCCACTACAGACTCGTGGAACACGGCTAGAAGCCTCTGATATTCATCCTTTTCTTCCGGTTTGATCGTAACGCCAAGTGCTCGCAAGCTGTCGTCCAGGACTGCTGCTGTCACTGGGTTTGCCTTTTCTACTTCCAGCGAGAAGACAGACATGTTGTCAATATAGTTCCAAGGGAACCAAGATTTGTAAGATTTCACACTCAGCCGGGCAATAAACCTTGCACATGAGTTATGGTCTGTCGCTGATTGTGCATCTATCAAGGCGTCAAGTGTAGGTTATTATGCCTGGCTTGAATCGCGGGAAACGTACCAAGATAGGTAAGTCCACATCAGCATCGTTGGCCAACCTGCCTATCTCTATCGGCCTAATTAGAAATGACTTATCTTAGCGTTTTCGGGCGTCCGAAATTACATGCAAGTTATCAAGCGATCGGAGGTAATGAACCGGCAGTAGAACGCATCTTAGGTGCTTACTGCGGTAGGCATTCCCCGCCATCGCCTTATCTCGTGAAGGATCTCCCCACAATCAGGAATACCCCGCTTGGTATCAGCATATCGCGATAACGCCTGATTGGCCTCGGTGAATATACCTTAATCGAAGAGTATTTCCTTGAGCTGGATGTATATCATGGTGCGCCTTTATGCATTCATGTTTCTTTCAAAATGTTATGTGCCAGTTCAAATAACTAGTAAAAGCGACTGTTTCACATTCTCTCTCGTGGCTGGAATCCATCATCAACAACCCGATTAATCTTTACACTTAACAAAATGGTTCATGTCGAAGAAAGCTTGCAGATACCCCGGGACTTTGAGGGTGAGTCTGTTGTTACTTTCAGCGTAGTCGCAGTTACTGATACAATAACCCTTAGGTTTCGGCGAGGAGGGCTTCGACCCAAAATGGCCAGATGGTGCCCGTATCGCGGTTTCTTTCGTCCTCAACTATGAGTAGGTTTGATTATCACCAACTTGATGATATTGTCACTAAACATGATTAGGGAAGGCGGAGAACGAAGCACATTGGACGGAGACCCTTTCTCAGAACCTTACTTATGGGAGAAAGGCGCATCCGGGGGCTACAAAGAAGGCGCCAGGTACCTCAATGCTGAGCAAGACTTTGAGTATGGCAGTCGCTCAGCCTCTTGGCGTCTTATCCGTCTTTTCAAAGAGTTTGGCTGGAGCTTCACTACTTACGCTGTAGCGCACGCGCTCAAGCGCAACCCAACCTTTGCAAAGGCGCTGGTCCGAGACGGGCACGAAATCGCTTGTCACGGACTCAGATGGCTGGACATCTGGAACTATTCACTCGAGGAGGACAAGGAATACATCAAACAGAACATCCTGATGCTGAAGGAAGTATCAGGTGAGATGCCCGTTGGCGCTTACTTTGGCCGTGGTACACCCAATACCCCCTCACTATTCCCGGAAGTATGGAAGAGTCTTGGAGGAGAGTTTCTCTGGTCTTCTGAATGCTACAACGATGATGTTCCTTACTGGCTCGACTTGCCATGGGAGAAGGAGTCGCCAGAGGAGAAGCGAGAAGGCATGCTGCTTATCCCTTACAATTATGATTGCAACGATGGAAAATTTCACATGTCGCCCGGCTTTGGCAGCTCTGTTGCGGAGACGTATGAGCAGTATTTGAAGAACACCTTTGATTGCTTGTACAGAGAGGGCGGCAAGCTGATGAACATTCCATTGCATACACGTATCATTGGCAAACCAGGCAGATCGGAGGCTTTGAGGAAGTTCATGAAGTACATTGCGGAAAAAGAGGGAGTTTGGGTTACAACGAGACGAGATATCGCCAAACACATGAGAGCGGAATTTCCATACGAGCCAAACAGGAAGTGGATGAAGGGCAAATGAATCACATGTATGTAGTCAATATCAAATTGTTTGACCGTGTGAGCCCTCTCAGGCTCATTGGAATCGAGAACTAGCTCGGGGTCAGAACCAATAGACGTAGACTAGCCGAAACAAATGGTATAACGCGAATAATCGTCGCGCAATGGGTTGTTGACCAAACACCGCTTGTTGTTAGGATTCTCAGATTTCGGCCAGAAAGCACCCTGTCGAGACGGTCGAATGCCGAAAACGGCCAGTTGACACAAATATGGTCGGAACCTCCGATCGGAGGTGACTGTCCATAGAATCGGATGTTGTCCGAAGAGACTAGCCCTGCACGGATTAGTCCCAACAATCAACTGCGCTCAGGCGGCATCGGCAAATTTCAGGAGGATCCGAGAAGTATGTAAATCGGATCTCCGCCCCTATCATCCGAACGAAGTTTTTGGGCAGCACAACAAACCTTGGCATTGAAGGACGGGCATGGCGTCCGAAACTCAGAACTCGGTATCACCGCCCCTGGCCACGCCCGGGGCTGTAGCTGTGAACCCCCGGAAGAGGGGCAGGACTGCATGTACGAGATGCAAAAGTCGTAAGCAGAAGGTGCTTACCCAGAGCCAATCAAGATTGCACGCAGGACGTTTTCCTCTGATTCTAGGTCCAGTGTGACGACCAATATCCTATTTTCTCCAATTGTCGTAAATCAGGAGCACAGTGTGATAAGACAGATGTCTCCGACGATGCTTCATCGATTGCGTAAGTAGTTGGTCCTTCGATGCCGATCAAGTTGACAAGTTTTGATCGAATGTATGTAGACTGAACTCCGATGCAGATACACACGAGCTCTCGAAGAGCGAGTAGCTTTCTTGGAGAACAAGCTAGCCCAAGTCCCTACCCCAGAAGCAACAACAACTCCAAGGGAAACCGCAAGCAACTACTCGGTTCCGTCGGGTAGAGACAAAAATGCCCTCAGTGACGTTGTAGCACACGTCTCGCTAGGAAACCTCGAGGCGCCGGCTTATGTTGGACCCTCGTCTGGACTATCCCTAGCCCTGAATCTTGGCGAGATGGTTCAAGCGACTGTCTGGAATAAGATGTTGCCAGACATACAGGATGGCACTACAGGCAATCAAGCTAACTGCATCAATCCCAGTCCGAGATGCATCACAGTGGAAGATCTTTTGGCTCATAGTGTCAAGGAACCTCCAAGTGATGAGCAGGGTTCTCAAATGCTCAAAGCGTACACGTCTCAGCTGCACTCCAAGTACCCTTTCCTGGAGCCTGAGGAGTTGTGGAAGTTGCATAGCGAGAGAATGACTCTGGCTGCTAAACCAACACAAACTCTTACAAGGATCGAACGCTTCGGTATCTTCAAGTTGTATCTTGTATACGCTATGGGGGCAACTTTAGTGCAATTGACGCAAAGGGGGCCAGTGTTATCTCCAGAGGTATGCCTTTGACACCATTATTAAGTACCTTAGGTTTGAGATTGTTGACATCATTCCTCAAGGCTCTCTACATCACTGCTTTACAGCATATCTCAGCAGCCAGGGAGTCGAGAACAGTCCAAAACATCGAGGCAATGACGTTACTCGTGATGTTCCATCTTCGGTCAACATCTAGTCATGGGCTGTGGTACATGATTGGCCTAGCAATGAGAACATCAATCGATCTCGGCTTACATCGTGCGGCACATGAACAAAATCTTGATGGTCCTATCGTTCAAAGAAGACGCAGGCTTTTTTGGTCTGTCTATTCTCTTGAAAGAACCATAGCAGTGTCGCTGGGTCGGCCTTTAAGCATCGCAGATAATCAGATCGACGTTGAGCTTCCGAATGCCATCATCAACGGGAGCCCATCTACTTCGGTCCTTGTCGGGAACGACATCACTCTGGCACTTGTTCTTTTCAAGCTTCGCAGGATTGAGTCCAAAATTCATCACTCGGTCTATCGTACGGACAAGACTTTGGACGCACTCCGGCCCAAACTAGACCGGCTGCATCAGCAACTCAAATTCTGGCGGGACTCTCTGAGGGATTGGATTCCTGCAGGTCATCCAGATCTGAACTATGCGCTTCTGCTCTATAATCGTGCGCTCCGTCTTCTGATACAGCCGTTTTTGCCGGTATTACCAGCAACAGACCCGTTCTACGGACTGTGCATGCGAGCCGCAGGTGACATATGCCAAGCACATAAGAGATTGCATCAGACGCTAGACTACGGCCACAGCTTCATCGCAGTCCAAACAGTCTTTGTTGCAGGAGTCACCCTCGTGTATGGAATCTGGACCCAGGGTAATGCCCTTTGGTCGGTGGCTGTGTCAAACGATATCAGAGCTTGCTCCCTAGTGCTCTTCGTCATGAGCGAGAGGGCTCCCTGGGTACGTAAGTACCGAGACGCATTTGAGGTGCTTGTCAATGCAGCCATGGAAAAGCTTCAGGACAACGAGGCTGGCCTTGCTGAGATGGCCTCGGCCCAAATGAGAGCCGGCAAAGCACCGGGTGCGGCTGATAGCCGTGGAGTACAAAATCCTGACCTCAGTGGGAATGAGACCACAACGCGTCCGATTGATAGCACTTATAATCAATTCTTGATGTCTGAAGACGGTGGAATAGCGCTTGGGGAGTTTGAGGGCGCTTGGCCGATGGTTGCGGAGCTTGCAAATTGGATCGATCAGGACACAGAAGGTGCAAGTCCTGTCTGGATGCCGAATTTTGAGTTACTACAGAGTCTTTCAGGCACTTGGAACGAATAGAGCATTTGAATCGAATCAAATCCAAAAACGGCTCTCCTTGAAATGGAATACAATGGAAGTACTGTCTGGTCCCTTGCATTTAACAGAAGATATTCTTTCTGGGAAAAGGTTGTCGAAACCTTTCACCAGATGGGGCAAATTCTAACGGTGATTTTATGGTGATAAGACAAGTGATCGAAGACTCTTGATAATTCCATTAAGAAGTTAGACCAGTTTGTTTGGAAGACGCGAAAATCTGACGAAATGAAACGTATAAGATTTGTTATCCGAGTAAGTAGTATTTGACCACACCTTATCACGGCATAAAAGACTCCACGAATAGTATCAACACTCTCTCCGGGGAAGAAACCCTCTGATGGCGCCATGCTCTCAAAGCCCGTGCTTATCTCTGACTCCAGCTCTTGTGGATAAACCGGAATGGGCCAGATAGAACAAGCTACGAAGTAGACTAGCGAACCCATTGCGAGAGAAAGCAGAAAACCGAGCTTATACATGTTCTTGCTTGCCTGGTTAACGGAGTCGGGTTCAAGATTTCCAGCAATGCCGTGTACAGTGAACGCAACGCCAGCAACCCATGCGGCGACCGCGCGCAAATTCCAACCTTTGTAGTACGTGTAAGGAGCGCCTTCTACTTTTGTGTACAAACTTGGAACATGGAGGTTTCCCCGACGGATGATCCAGTAGTCTGCAACCATGATCTGGAAATTCATTAATACGACGGGGATTTCTTGTAGGGATAAAGACTACTTGTACTTACACCACAGGTCGGCATCAAGAAAACGGTGTATGACCCCAAGAAAGTGAGGAAGGAACTGGCACTGGCGATAATTTTCCACGGTACACAAAGGGGTGCAAGCAGAGCACATATCACCTGACCCCTGACAATGTTGATATACCTCGGCCACAGCCCGCTGGTATCAGCACCTACAGGCAGGGAATTTGAGCCGGCATTGGTCGCGATAATCGCCAAAATCATGCCCTGATACACCGATTAGCAAACCGAAAACCGCTCTGGACGATGTTCATCTTACCGCGGAAGCGAAGAACATCCCAGCGCGGGCTCCAGGACCCCAGTACTCAGTCAAGATAGCGTTGTAGAGATCCCAGACGTTCCAATAGCTCTTGCCAAGAACACCAGCAGCCGCACTAGTTGTGGCACAGCTCAGAAACATGACGAGCACCTTACTGACCAGGATACCAATGGCTTGTGACCAGGTTGCCTGTGCTGGACGTGTGGCGTACCGAGCGACATCAGGTTGGTTGACCAGGATCGGGCAGAGGGCCGCCATGACGCTGTTGATAGCTTGGATCATGGGCCACACAAGTGCCGCGCCGCTTAGAGACTTTGCTCCAAAGTTAAAACCACCCAGGCTCCCTCCATTCGCATGTACTGCCCATCCTAGGACGCCGACTAGACCTGCAGTTGTAGCCACGGACTTCACCACAAATAGGTGTCGAAGAATAGTCGGATGGATGAACATCACCGGAAACTGCATGATCCAGAAGATGAAGAATGCCAACAGGTTCTTGGAAGTGATCCCCGCGCTTGTCGGGAGGCGGTTAGTAATATTATCCCACCCGGAGCCGAATATGGCCCTGAGGGCCACTGAAGTGAGCATACCGCCATAGAATGACTGAGTTGCGAAGTAGATGACGGCGACGGAGGCGCGTACGACTATAAATAGTTTTGCACCGCTAACACCGGCAGCAGCGCGAACGTAAACGGGGAATCCAACATGATAGCAAGTTGCACCGCGGGAGTTGAGGATAACCACAACGCTGAGGATAGCGGAGCCGATCACGGCTGCAATGCCACCATTGCTGCGCATTGATTGTAAGAGACTCCTCATAGTATAATGTACGGTAGAGACTAGACTCAACATACTAAGCCAATTGAGATGAGAGTTGCTCCAAGATTGTAAGAGCCTGGAGAAAATGTCTGGGTCAAGTAGTACGTGAAGAAGTGTAAAGCTGTCCAACTTCGATGCTCTTCAGAGAAAGATTAGCTATTTGCTCATTGTGTCGAAAAGCTTTCAAATGGCAACTGACCTGAAGGAGTAGGTAGCAAGTCTTCGTTGAAGTACGCCGTCCCCTCTTCGGGATGTTCTTTGGTTTGGATGAATTGCTTGAACTCGTGCCGGGACGAGCAAGCTCTTGTGAGCCTCGTCAAGAACATCATCGCTCAGTGTAAATTGTTTGAATAATTCCAGATACACTTGTAGTGCCTTTCAACCAGTACCATCAACATACCTTACGAAGTTTCATGTCAAGTTGCGATTTTTCGCCGTCATTACTGTATTTATCAAGTTGAGGTTGTATTTCCTTATCATGACTGAAAGCTGCCTTTCCCTTGATGCCGCTATCTCATCTCCATCTCAACCTTTCGATAAGAAGTAGCTTAGCTGCCAAATTGGCACCTTCTACCGACCAGATGAGCGAATGCTTTCTGATAACATGGTCTCCAGGTGAGCGAATCATGCGGGATAAATAGCGTCGGACATCCGCCGAGAATGATAAGCGAGCCACATTGGCGACCAGCCGACGGCATCGGATATTCCGACCAGCAACGACTTTTGTGGAGTTCATCGCTTCAAAACATGCCGAAATCCCTTGTTGGTCTGGCCTAGCCATGACGCACCCATTTTTTCAATAGTCAACGTTGAATTCGCCCCCCTTCAACTTTTCAGCCCAGTTTTTTCGCTGCCGAACCCGGAGCCGAGATGAGGCCGATTGACCAATCTTTGACGGCGGTGATCCGAGTCTTGGCTCCTCCGGACGCTGGTATCCGCTCTCAACGTCGGATTGTCTCACGAAAAGTTTTCATGCGCTGGTCTTTTACTCATAGTTTCAGCCGCATATTCTCTCGGAGCTTCCTAATCACTCGGCCATACTTTACGCTGATATTCTTGCCATCGTAATTGTTGTACTTTGTCCCAAGCGATCGACTACCCAGGGTTGCAGCATGAGGGGCGATCAGGAAACAACCAAGGCCGAAAAGGCTCTCCACGACCAGACAAACATCTTACCTTTGAAGAAACTCCTAGTTGTCTTTGCAACCCTTGCAGTGACTTTATTAGTCTCATTCATCGACCAGAATGGCATCAGTATCACTTTGCCAACGATTGCTGCGGACCTCAACGCGGAGGATACGATATCATGGGCGGGTACGTCATCGCTCATCGCCAACACGACATTCCAGATGCTCTACGGGCGTTTCTCAGATATTTTCGGCCGAAAAGCCGTATTTCTGAGCGCCATCGGTCTTTTGTCAATTGCAGACTTGCTCTGTGGGCTTTCACAGAATGCGACAATGTTTTACATCTTCCGTGGCGTTGCGGGCATCGGCGGAGGCGGTATCACGAATCTCGCCATGATCATTGTCTCCGATGTCGTTACTTTGGAACAAAGAGGCAAGTATCAAGGAATCTTGGGCTCGATGGTTGGTCTTGGAAATGTTCTCGGCCCTTTTCTTGCTGCCGCCTTTGTTGAGAGGGCAACATGGAGAGCGTTCTTTTGGATGCTCTCGCCCCTCGGTGTTATCGTCGGTATCATCTCATACTTCTTCCTGCCATCTAAGCCCCCAGATGACGACTTTATGAAGAGTGTCAAAAAGATCGACTATGCAGGCTCATTCACCTCGTCGGCCGGCGTTATTTTGCTGCTTATTCCCATCTCTGGAGGTAAGTTATTCCTCGGCTCGATCCCGTGCGTTGATAGAGCAAAAGCTGATTTACTCTGCCAGGTGGCGCATATTTTCCATGGAATTCAGCAATGGTTATCAGCATGTTGACAATAGGGGCGCTTGCTCTTGTGTCTTTTGTCATTGTGGAGTGGAAGTTCGCCAAGCTTCCGATGATGCCAGGTAATATTCGTCAACAAGAAATATGTCCCCGAGTGCTAGCTAACAATACACAGTTCCCATCTTCAAGAACAAGGTTGTTGTTGTCCTCTTGGCACAGTCATTTCTATTCGGAGCAGCGTACCAAGGATATCTCTACTACATCCCGCTGTATCTCCAGAACGCTCATCAATTCTCGGTCATTCATTCGGCGGGAATCTATGTTTCCTTAGTTGTTTGTCAATCCGTGTTCTCAATCATCTCGGGACAGTACATATCGAGAACTCAGCGCTATGGAGAAGTGATCTGGGCAGGCTTTGGCCTCTGGACACTGTGAGTTGAGGGCTTTCCCGATCCCGGCTACTACGTTTGCATCTATCTGACAAATGACATAGAGGAGCTGGTCTCACACTTATTTTCGACCGAAATACCAAGCCTGGAATCATCGTCATTCCTCTGCTGATCATCGGCATTGGTGTCGGATTCATCTTCCAGCCAACGCTGGTGGCCCTGCAGGCGCACTCCATCAAGTCTCGCCGGGCAGTCATCACTTCAAATCGCAACTTTTTTCGATGTGCCGGTGGTGCTTGCGGATTAGCCGTCTCCGCGGCAGTGCTTCAAGCAACTTTACGAGCAAACTTGCCTCCAGGCTTCAAGGACCTCGCCAGCAGTACATACTCGATACCGCAACTGAATGAGCAAGATAAGTCCGCGGTTCTCGACGCATACATGGCGGCAAGTCGAGCGGTTTTCATTCTTCAGATACCACTGATCGGGTTGTGCTTGGTGGGCTGTCTGTTGATCAAAGACAGAGGCTTGCACCCGATCGAGGAGGCGAAGCCAGATGACACGCTCAGTGAGAGTCGGGATGAAGAAATGGGACGCCCGAGTGAGAAAAGCTCACATGATGGCAACCACGACAGCCACGAGCAAGTGCTGGCACAGCGCACCAACGCACCGCAGCAACAAGCCGGGAGGACGTGAGACTGCATGATTATTGCAAGGTGGAGAGAAAAGATGAGATCGGGATAAAATGCGAACTAATAGATGACGACTAATGTGGAATTGATAGACTAATAGACGGAGGATTGGAGATGAACGTAAGAAGACGCGTCGGCTATCAAAACTCATTGCTGATTGGACACCTATAAATGATCCAAAG